TAGCCCGCGCGATGGGGTCGAGGTAGATCTCCCTGCTTTCAGAGTCGAGGTACGGGACAGGGTCAAAGGAGGGCCTATCAACGAAAGTGAGCCGTGCAGGCTCGACATCCTTAGCAAGCACTTCCGGGGCATGGTCGAGAAGACCCATCCCCAGCGACTTGTCAAACTCCCCTCAATCAACAGGTGAAGGAGTCCGCGCTCCGGCTCGAGGCAAGGGGAGCTTGCTGTTCAAGTTCGCAGAGGTGGCCGAGAACTGCCTGGTCAAGGCTTCCAGGGTGGCTTCGAGAGCTTCAACTTTCGAGGCCCCCCGCGCCATTATTTCCTCAGGCCCTAAAGGACCCTCAGCATTCCATCTGTCTATCCCGATCGCAAGATTGTCAACGACAGCAAGCTGCCTGGCATTCAAAGGGGCTCCAAGCTCAGGTCCCAGAGACGGACGAGCGAGCGCGGGCTGACCCAAGTAGAGCCAGCTGAGGGTCAAAATCAGAGCATTCAAAGCCAGCTTTCGAGGGGCTTCCGAAGACTTGCGAGCCCTCGCGGCACCCGAGCGGTGGAGCTCGGGAAAAGGAAGAGCCATCGGCCAAATGCCTCTGGCGGGCCCTCGCACGGTGCGAGGTAGGCAACGCAGGGAGTGCCAAAACGAACTCAGCTTGCATCTTACAACGCCGAGAGAATCAAAGAACTTGTCCCAAAGCAAAAGACCATGCACTGTGCTAGCACGGGCGCCGGGCGAGCTTCATCACCTGAATTCTTAAAGGCCGGGCGCTCGGCTTGGTTCGGGGCGTCAGCTACTTGCTTTCGCCTTTGGCCTCGCCCTTTGCTCCTTTGCCGGGAGTGCGGGGAGGTCGTCGAGTCGGCTTGCTGTCGTCGTCCGGCTGTCCCTGTCCCGAGGCTCCTGGATGGTCCCCCTGAGAGTGATGCTGACCGGTCAGCTTCTTTCTCGCTTCCAGAAAAGCCTCTCTTTCGCGAATGCGGTGGATTAAGACAGCGAAGATTCGTGGGTCGAGAAGTTTGGTTTGCCCTGCTTCCCAAGGTTCTAGGGCTTTGTGCTTTGCGAAGGCGGCAACCGGCGGCTGCGGCTCCAACAGCATCTCGGACGCCAGAAGCCACGAGCCGCCCTCGATGGCCGCTTGATCGCTGGCTGCCAGGAGCAACCCAACTCCACCTTACTGGACCCGGCATCGCAGGAAGATGCGATCGATGCTCGAGCCATGATCGAGCCATGATCGCGCGCTGGCCTGAAAGCCTTGGGCGCCAGGAGCACTCTGGATGCCCAAGAAGTCCTCGCTCAGAAGCTGCTCGAACGAATCGATAAGCGCCTGAGGGTCCTCCCGCAGAGTCTTGCATAGCTTTAGGTATGCTGCAGCTTTGCTCTTCCCGACTGAGCTCGACGGCAGGCCGGCTTCCAGGCCGGCTCCCTCGGTCAGGAGCTCGTCGAGTTCGCTCTTCTTGGAGGCATGCATCTTGGCCAAGATCTTGCTCATCTGCACAACCGCTTTGCCCACAGCGTCCGATGGCGTTTCCCCTTCGCCGCCTTCCGGCTGCTCCGGCCCTTCGTCGGACTCCTCGCTTTCGGACAACGGTCCCGACCGCCTTTTCGAGAAGCCGTCCTTGAGTGCAGTGGGCTGCCCGGCAAGGGCTCCCATGCGCCTCAGCTGAGCTTCGCCGACTCCTGCAGCCCGCGCGGCCGTGACAACAGAGGGCTCTAGTCCCGGGATCAGAAGTCCGGTAGCTTGAGCTTCTGGGGCCTTCTTTTGCTTTAGAGCAGAGCTGCAGCGGAGGGGGCGGCTGCCCCGGCAGATGTAACATGGTGCAGAACGGAGTCCAGTCCCGCCCGCAGTTGGCGCATCGCAGTCTCCAACGAATTGACTCGAGTCGAAAGCTGTCCGCTTGGCGGCCCAGCAAGAGCCCGTGCCTCGGAAGTCAACTCCTCCTGGGCCGAGAAGAAAGCAAAGTGGTAGTGAGCGATGGCCCGAAGGGCAGGCCTTCTTGCTCCGACCCCTGGATCAGGAAACCACGTTCGGCTCCTCCGTCCTCGTCCCCAAAGCTGCAACATGTCTCCAGCGCCGGGTCAAGAAGGCCTATCCAAACCCTAACCTTAAAATGAGGATGAGACTCAGCACGATTCTCAGGATTGGCTGCAAGTACTTCAGCAGCGACAGCTTTCGCCAAGGCACCTCGCGGAAGGTACCTGCGGGCAGTTTGCCTGTGCCAGACACTGTGCGGCACGGCGACAACAACTCGTGATTCAAAAACGGCAACCCCAATCAAGTTGCAAGAAATGGAGGAACCCTCGTCAGGCTCCAAGGAAAAAGAGCCCAGCACGTATGCTGAAGCCGCTTCAGATGATTGATTGAGCAGGCAATCACGCAGGCTCGGACCTTCCTCCTCCTCCTCAACGGGTTCACCCTGAGGAGAAGCAGCTTCGAGATCCAAAGTATCAAGCGCCGGCGGCGCTTCCATTGATTCCTGAAGTGGGCCACTGAAGACCCGCCGCGTGAAGGGCTGTTACGACTTCGGCTTGCGACGGCAAGCCTACGAACACTGAGGCACCTCCGTCTGGCCCGCGCTTGCAGAGCCGCCTAACCGAATCAAATTTGGTGAAGATCGCTGGCTCTGGAAGGACAGTGCCGTGATAGTCGGCGAGCACAATGTAGTAACGAGATGCAAGGGCTAGACGGTCCCGCCCGCTTGATCCTCTATACTCTCCTCGCACAACTCTCGCTAAGAAGCGACCCACCTCAGCGGCGACCCCTTGCCTGAACGGTCCGTCAGGCGGGCCAGGAATCTCAACGGCCGCGCTGCTCTGCGCCGCTCCGCTTGAGCCTCGGGATCCTTCAGGCGGAGGAGGAGAAGCTATATGTGCTCGGGGCGGAGGGGTGAATGCACGTCCTGGGCTTTCAGCAGCCGGAGTTATCACCTCAAACGAACCACTTTCCAACACTCGAACCCTCTCCTCCAAAGCCTCAACAACAGCCCTTAAAGCCCTAACCTCAGCTTTCAGAGCCGCAACCTCTCTGTCGCTCATGCAAGAAGCCGATACAGGCTGGCCGAGTGAATCGCCTGTCCCTCTCGGACCAGAACCCTTCGAAGGAGGAGGCGGGTCAGGCAGATCAAATCCAATAAAGGCCAAAGCAGAAGCCCCAGGCACAAGCCCAGAAAGAGAGAAGGAGGATGAAGCGAAAAGCCCGAAGCCCAAGCTTCCGAAGAATCGAAGGATGTCAAAGGACCCAAGTCGGGGTCAGGAGGCGCAAGTAGCACCGGACTAGCCGCCTCTCTGAGAACAGGAAAGAGAATCCCCGCAAGACCTCCCGACGACCCTGCTACGGCTAAGGGCAGACCTCGCATCCAAGAAAACTGCAGCAAGAGGTAAAACATGCATTCGACACTGCTCGTTCAACGAAGTGGTTTATGATACACCCTAAACCCCAAACCTATCTAACGCCGCGAAGTAAAGGAGAGAACCGCCCCAAATCTATCTAACGCCGCGAAGTAAAGGCGAAAACCACCCCAAACCTATCTAACGCCTCAAAGTAAGGGCGAGAACCCAATGGGACCAAACAGCCTGCCAAGGACTACCAGGTTTATCATTTATCATAACTGTACCGCATCAACTGACCAGCATGCTTTCTGGCCCTGCACGATTGGTCCATTGCAGCGCAGCACGCAAAAGCATCTCTTTGTGAGATTATACGTCTATCGTATGTATCATTATATGTATGACGAAAAAGATGGGGCTTCTATTTCAGCTTGCCAAGGAACTTCCAGAATGACCCTAGGTTTATCGAAATTTGCCGCTTACTCGGCCCAAGATTTGGGCTCCCATCTTGTAAGCAAGCCAAATCCTGCCAGGCACTTGTCCCGAGTTTCGAGCTCAAGTCGGCTTGAACAGCAGATTTGTCCAAGCATCTATCCGGTGATTACGGCCTCACAAGCAATTCTGTCCAAGCACTTGTCCGGACGATTTGCCTGGGTTTATGGTGGATTTGACCCAGATTTGTAAAGACCAATCTTCGTATGGAACTGGCCCTCCCAAGGAATGCTCGCCACCACTCGCGGCGACTCCCGTGTGGAATGGCGATTGATGGGACATGCCATGATCCCACTGTGCCAATGCATGGGCGTAGGATTGGATCACGATTGTTCCACCTGGGACGAGATCTATGAGAATGAGTAGACTGTCGCCGCCAATGCTTGGAATGCACCCTGTCGCCGCCAATGCTTGGAATGCACCCAAGGCCGAGGCGACTGAACAGGCCACTGGGATTGCTCTCGCACAGACTGCGAATGCCGCGAAGGGCACTGCCAAGTGAAAGGCACTGAGCAGCCGACTGGTTTAGGAGTGCCTTGTGAATGCCATTGTTTTGCAAATGTGAAGTTCTTTGTGAAATGTTGAACGGGTTTCTTTGCAGAGAATGAAGTTCTTGGATTCAGCTGAATGTAGCATGAGCCGACTGTCTGCAATTTTCACTGTGTACAGTGCAAGCCGGCCTCCGAATGCTGTTTTCGTCAAGACTCGAGTGTCATCCCGAGTCCAGCCAAAAGTCCGGAATGAGACCAATGATCCTTTCGCTGCTTTGATTGGTGACTGTCCTAATTGTTTCTTTTGATCGCTTCGCGAATTCCACCACCAATGCTCGTTTGTTTGTTTTGGAATGATTTTGGACTGAATTCAAGATCAAGGGACTGTGTTAAATGACACGAGCCCAATGTGCACCCGAATGTTCTTGATGCATTATAGAATGCTGCGATGCCGAATGGCATTGGCTCAAGACTGGACTGTGGTTGGATGTCATAAAGGAATGTCTGCTTGACTGTGACTGGGGAAAGTGACTGATCTTGGGTTACTCCCTAGGACTGATTTGTACTCATTTTGTATTCGTGAATTTTTCTCTCTCTCTCTCTCTCTCTCTCTCTCTCTCTCTCTCTCTCTTCATCGTTCTCTGCTCCATGAGCCAATCGTCAACTTGCCGATGTTGCGGGTTTCACGGAGAACCAGCCTTTTTCAGCAAGCCATCAACCATTTCCGTGAAGTCCGGCCCTTGTCCAAGCAGCAGCGTAACGAGCATGAGCAAGATCCGTGTCTCTTCCTCCGCGTGGTTCCTGTCCCAGAGCATGCGGCTGAGGCACCCTGTGTTCTCCTTGCTCGAACTCTGACTTATGTTGTTTTGCGTTTGACTTGCTGCACGATGCAGAAGGAACCACATGTGGATGTCGCAAGCCGTCGAGCAAGAGGCTGCCGACAGGGCCGTCAGTCCGTCGGAGTCTGTGGCATTCACATCAGCTCTGAACAGTAGCAGTTCCCAAGCAACATTGCTGTGCCCTGACACAGCCGCTGCGATGAGGGCCGTGGTCCCTGGCGTTTTGCCATCTGTGCGGGCGCGCCCCTTTCGTCGGCTCTCTTCAGCGAGCCGACGAATCGCAGAAGGTTCTGGTGCGAAACACGAAGTCTCTTTGCCACTCTCCAACTGATTGGGATTGTAGCACTTCGCCAAGAAATCCTGCACCTGAGAGATCTCTGGACAAACGCTTTCGAAGCAAAACCTTCCGCATCTCTCCGCCAAGCCGCCCTCTCCAGGTCGCCACGTCCTGCAGCTTCAACCAAGCTGTCCTCCTCTTCGGCCTTCTCGCCCTCAGCATTCGTACTCGTACTGACCTACGGGTAATTCCAAACCCAATCTCCCTTGCAAAGTCCGTCGTAGAGGAAACTCGAAGTGCACATACTACACAGGTACATCACAAGGTGCCACCTGAGCTGGAGAGTTATGAGTCTCAGGGCCGGAATAGTTAACAGAAGGTTGTGGTATACATTATGAGTTTTTGCACTTGTGGAATGGTATTGGTACTTATTCAAGCCCCTAGATTGCACCAGGCTCAGGTTCCTGGCTCAGGGATTGAAGTCGAAGCCCACAAGTCTAATTTCGTCGCGAGAGGAACAAGTGAGATAAGCGCAATGGCACGTCCGTGCTCATAGGATACGGAAAATGGGGGCCTTTCTTATTTCTGGATCTGCGGCACATGCTTGATGCCTGCCTGTCTCAGGATAGGAGCGGCAAGAGGCTGCAAAACCAGTGTGAACACTCCATCCGCCGGACATTGCCAGGTCCTAACCCTAGCTCCTGCACACCTTACCGACACTGAGCCCAAGTCCTAGACACATCCCTGATGGCCTATCACATGCACAACCTACCTTCAAAGTAAGTGTAAAGCTACACTAAGCCGCTCCTTAGCCTTGAGTGCTCCGGACTATCAGTCAACCGAACGATCACACCTGGCTTGCAAGAATGCTGAAAAGATGCCACAGACTACTATCACCAATGCAAGACGATGATGGTCAAGGTTGTGAAGAGGGCACGGGTATGGCACTTATGATGCATGCTCAGAGAAATGAATGACATGATGACGATGCTTCGGAAGGAAAGCATCCGATATGGAGAGTATGCATGGCTGAGCCGACTGCTGAGGCTGCTCTAGTTGCTCTGCCTACTTCCGCATAGCCCCGAGAAGACTTTTCGAGAAGTCCTGTGCAGAACTGCCATATTTGGTGGGTGGGCGACAAGGCATCAGCAAGTCCAAATGAGAATTACGGAGCATGCGGGCATGCCGAGGTTCTGGACAGAAACACCCTTGCCGAAATCTGAACATGCTGCCAAACAGCGTCGGCGGTTGCTGTGCGCTTTGTCGCCCGAACCTGCAACAGACAGACGTGGCCTTGAAAATGCGCAGCGTTCGTTTCGAGGATGCTCTTTACGCCGCTACACTGTATTGCAATACTCGTCTCCGTTGTCTAGGGTACCAACAATGGCCCACAAGTTCCGAACGAAACCCTAAAACCTGAAAGCGTGTCGCGGCTAAGCGCTGTTAAGGGAATGTGACTTTGGCTACTATAACCCTAAGCCCTAAACCCGAAAGAAAGCGTAACCCATGCTAAATTACTACGTATGCCTATGCTGGTAAATTAGGCTACTTGCAAGAGTATGATGACGCTCTGAACTTCTGAAACGCCTCTTACCCTTCTAATGACCTCTGAATCCCGATAAACCCTTTGGGAGCCATATCATCAAACAGGGGAACATCAACACAAGTCAAGTCCCGGGAAACTCTTCTGGCCTTCTTGACCTTCTGCTTCGCCTTTGCGGTCTTCGGGGCGGTCGAAGGCTCCTCGACCAGCGGAGTGAAGGAGGTCTCCTCCGAAGAAGGGCTCGCGACGTCGGCCTCGGCGCTCACCTGGGTGGGAGTTTAGGCCTGCTTGAGGGTGCACAGGCCGAGCAAAAGGAGAGGTGCGGTCTGGGGTAAGGGGACTGTTAAGAATGGCTCACAGCGACGGAATTGTAGCTGGCAGGTGGGAAGGCTAAACGGCGTGGTAATCGACGTCCATGTTCTGCGCTCCCGCCAGAGTATTTGGACTGCTAGGGTGGTCTCGGAGCCTCACAAAGGCTCTTGGAGCGCTTGAGGTCGACCTCAGCACTCGTACTCACTGGGTGTTCTTCTAAATGCGAGCTCGTTTGCAATGTCCGTCTTAGACAAGGCTCGAACTGCACGCATTACACAGGAACCTCACAAGCGGCCCTTAAACAGCCTGCCTGAATCATAAGCCTTAAATCCCCAAGCCGAAGTTCAAGAAACCCACCTGATTCTGGAACCCCTCGGGAGCAATCGAAGTCACATCCTCTCTCAGCTGCTCCGGCTTATCCGTCTCATCCGGGTCTGCTGCCGCCACCTGTCGGGCTTCCCGGCTTGAAGATTCGTTGGTTGTTGGGATGATTGTCCTGGTTTCTGTGGAGTTGGAGTTGGTGTTTTCCGGGTGTGGGTTCCTGGTTTAGGGATCGAAGCTGCAACAACCAAACTCCGCCTCACACACCCCAAAAAGCAAACGAGAAACTGCAATGGGATGCAAGAGCCCCGTGCGGCTGCACGAAACAACGAGACTAGCGGGGTGTCGGGAGGGTAAGGTTCAGATCTATGGTTCCGCTTCAGCGCTGTACCCTAGAACTTCATAAAGAACTAAACCTGGACTCGGTAGTCAGGGTCCTGATCGGCAAAAGACCCAAGAAAACCCTGCAGGAATGCGTTCATAATAACGATGCCATTGATTGGTATGCCCAGCATGAGCATGGAAACGTCGATGATTGTTGTCACAAAGCGTCATATGCGTATGCCAGCTATGATGCCGGATCAGCGTTATGAAAAATGATCGGGATCTCCTGAATTCTTCCCAGTCACCTTGTTCAGGTCGCCGAGTCGCGCAGCCTCTTTCACCAAGCTGTCCTCTCTTGTGCTCGGCACTCATACTCATCGGGTGTTCCTCTAAATGACGTGCAAGTCCGTCTTGGACAAGGCTCGAAGCGCATGGACTATGCAGGTACGCCAATCCTAAGGAAGCTCTAGGCCGAACTTCAAGCAACCCACCTGACTCTGGAACTCTCCGGAGCAATCGGAGTCACATCCTCACTTGGCTGCTCCGTCTCATCCGGGTCTGCTGCCGCCACCTGTCGGGCTTTAGGGTTTCAGGGGCTGTTCCCCGAGTTTGGGTTCCCTGGTTCAGGCATCGACACCGCAAACCCAAACTCCACGTCGTAGCCTCAGAACCTGGAAGAGATACTGCTATATAGTGTGCGAGGCCTGATCGAAAAACTGAGAGTAGCGGGGTTGAGGGTGCAGGGTTTGTAGGATTGGCTCCTTCGAAGTGCTGTTCCATAAAACTTTCTAGAACTGCGAACCAGGGTAGCCAGGGTCCTGATCACCAACAGACGCGGGACAACCCTGTATGCATGCTGCTAATACACAGCATGGCGATTGGTATGAAATAGTAAGTATGACCTTGGCTACGATGATTATGGTTGTCAAGATTATGATGCGTGCGGAGGCTATGTTTCTATGATGAATGACCACACAGAGGTTCCGGACAGAAACCCCCTGGCAGAAAGCTAGCCAATGCTGCTGGGCAACGTCGACTTTTGCTGAGCGCGTTGTGTTCCGAACCTGCAAGAGACATGGCCATCGAGACGATACTCCCAAAAGCCCAAGTTGCCGCCTTACTTGCAGACTTTCCGAAACCATTGAATCGACATAAATTCGATCGCACCAGCTGCGACAAACGGGATGGGATTGTACACGATTCTTCTTCTGAATGCAACCTTGGAGCGGTCTACACGAACCCACCATGCCACACACTGAAACCCCAACCCTGAACACCCCCTAAACCCCTAAAACCCCTACCAAACCCCTAAACCCTGGCCTTCTTCACCTTCGTCTTCGCCTTTGCGGCCTGCGGCTGCGTCGAGGGCTCCTCGGCCAGCGGAGCGCCGGAGGTCTCCTCCGAAAAGGGGCTCGCGGCCTCGGCCTCGGGTTTGGCAGGTTTAGGGTTTAGGGTTTAAGCTTCAGGTTTCAGGGTTAGGGCTTAAGGATTAGGTTCCAGGGTTGTTTTTTTGAGCGCCTCTTTTCAGGGTTTCGGGTTTAGGGCTTCGTTTGTATGAGTTGTTTTTCCCAAAGGTTGCAGTGTGCGACTTCTGGAAAAGGGTTTAGGGTTTGGGGTATTGAGATTAGGCATCAAAGTTTAAGGGTTTAGCACGGTAGGGCTCAGTGTTCATGTGTTAGGGATCGGGGCTTTCGACCTGGTCCAAAGGTCGCTAGGATTCAGGGCAGGGGGTCATAGTTTCTCTGTTCAAAGCATCAGAAATCCCGCTGGCATGTCTCAAAGTTAGGGCTTGAGGGTTGGAAAGTTGGAAAAGAAACAAAAAGCTGCTGGGGCTGCAAGTTCCTGCTCTCCGGATTTGCGACCTGCAAAATTGGGGCTTTTCCGGCTTTCAGCTGTCGAACCTGACGAATGCGGCTGATGCCCCTGCAGTGCAGAGAACAGCCAAAAAGCCTCGAACCTGATGCTAAGATCGGGGGACCAAGACCAAAACATCAGAGGCAAGTCCATGAAAGCTCCAGAACCTGCACCGCATCTTGCAGCCATTGGACCTCGCTCATCGGCGGCCACGAAGCGGGGGAAGGCTTCGTCCAGATTGCGACGCACGGGCTGGTGCGAGAGAAAACAGCCACGGAACGAGCATGACATCAAATCAACAACCAGCTTGCTGTCATCGTTGGGAATCTGCCGTCATTTTCTCGTGCCCGATGGTAAACAAGTTTCGGGCATCTGGATTTCCGGTCGAGGCAAGCATCAGAGCAGAGCTGAAATCTGAAGGTCCAAAACTGAACTTTGAAATCAAGGAGCCCAAAATTATGGAAGCATTAGAAGCAATCGTTGTTCTCACGGCTTCTGCTCTGGAAATCTCAATCGCAAACCGCCGTCGGCCAGAACGTGGCCACAGATGAGAATATGAAGTTACACGGTTTAAGGGCTTCGGGTATGGCATCCGCATATATCACAGTCAAACGAAGAACACATGACATTGTTGCTGTAAGGTTGAAGCCTTTCTTGGAGCTCCCCTACTTGCCGTCTCCAATGCGAAACGTTTCAAGCAAAAGCCCAAAACCAAGCACCGTCGAACTCTCATGGAACGTTTGTAAACGCCGTTTGTCAAACAGCTATAAAAGCCCTTAGGGAAGTAACCTAAGCTCTCTAGAGGAACAAGCCCCCAGTTGTTTGGGCTTCCGAGGCGAACCTGGGCTCCTTCATCGCTTTTCCTGCCCTCTTTGTCTGTAGCGTGGTCGAACGGAGCTCTGAACCTGTCTGGGATGGCAGGAGAACTCTGTCGAGTGCTTGAACGCTTTTTCCGCTTGCGAGGCTTACGGAAGCCTGCTTCAGGTTCAACAGCGCTGAACAACTGGACGCTGCCTTGGGCAGGCCCGGTCAATCAGGCGAGGTCCTGACAGCCTGCGCCTGGTACATAGTTTCGGCCAGGCACAAGCTTCTTCGTTTGTGCTACGCCAGAATGCCAGAAAAAAACGCACAGAGCAGTATGCCCTGCGTCCAAGAAAGCATCAAAACGCTCTCATGCCGGAAAATCTGCAGGGTGAAGGTGGCAGAGGCACGGTTCATCGCATGCTTCGGGTAGCATGCGATGTGGGAGGCTAGGGCTTAGCCCCGCATACTTAGGGATCCGAATCCCAGAAGTCGTCAGCAGCGAGACGCCACAATGCAAAAGCGAGGTAACTCCCCAAGGAGTCAGGATCCTACCGTCGGACAAGCGGCTGGGCCTCAAAAGGAGCCGCCTCCAGAATCTGCACCGGCTTGAGGTCTTTATGGATTCAAGATCCACTTTGTTTATGTTGGGGGGGTTGGGGACATCGCCCTTCTGTTGCCAGGAACCACTATTTAATGTGGCTCCTGACAGCACTCTGCCCGTGATTCAGAATCTCGAATTGAAGCCTCCTTAAGCTTCAACCCAAGACCCGGCTTTCCATAAAATGAAAGTGATTCACAGAGGGCTCTCCTTGGAGGTGTTCCCTCCATGGCTGCCTTCCATGAAAATCGAAAGCATTTGCATTTACGCCACGAGGCAGAAGCCAACGACGGTTTGGACTCATGATGGTTTGCGGGTTCAGGGTCGAGTGTTTCTAAGCATGGGATCAGGCTTCTGCTTCGTCGCCCAGATCTCGGCTCCTGCTGAACAGGAGCCGCTAACTGACACTAGCCATGCACACAGTCACCGGACGAACTCTCAAACCCCAAACCTCGCGTAACGACCTCGCTCGATGTGCAGCTGGGACAGTTCATGTATAGTGGCAAACGGTTTGTAGTGCAATTCGATTCCAACCCAACATCTGCCATTAATTGCCATTCTGACGACCATGGTGCCTCTGACTACGATTGACAGTGCCTGTCGGTACACTTTCTGCTGTTGCTTGCACTACTGTTCTGACTACTACTGCTACGATGGGTCAAGACCCCAAACCCAAAACTCTAAACGTTACCTATGCCACATCATCCAGCGACGAGGTCGAAAAGCATACTTCTCGCAGAATCACCCAAGGCCTGCACAGCTCGCGCAAGAGAAGAGGCCGCACTGCCGAAATCCGAGGGTCAGGGCTTAAGGAAACCAGCATCCTTAAACCGTAAACCCTAAACCCCTAAACCCTAAACCTACAAACCCCAAACTCTAAAGCTCCAGACCTCGGAGCCTCGGAACGCAACCCCGACAGTATGAACCCCCCTGATAAGGAAAACCCAAAGCATGTGGGGCTCTGGGTTTAAGCTTTCGGGTGTAGGTTGTTGGTTTGGGGCCTAGGGCTCCGCGTAGAGAGTAAGGCCGGAAAACCCAGCAATGCTATTTGAGTTTCTTCCCTGCAGCAGGAAGCCCCATGTCATTGCCCCACAATCATGCTCTGAAGGCTCATTTCCCAGGCCAACTCCTAATAACTCGTAATCTCGCATTGAAGATGCCCGGAATCAAGATTAAGGGTGATGTGCTCGAGAGTGCAGGACGCTTTCCCTACAATCTACATCCTGGCATTGTACCGATTATACCAAACCTTAGCCCTGAACCGCACTTTACAACATCGAACCTCAGTCGGGTCCATCCGAATCCTCACCAGAGCCTGGATCCCTGAAGGCGTCTGGGCTTGTGGGCGGCCACTTGCAGCTATACGTGGGGTCAAAAGTAAGATAAGTATAGTTACAACCCATATTGTGGCACTTAAATCCCGACTTATAACTACCCATGAACATCCAAGTAGAGAAGGGCGATCTGCGTTCACGGTCTCAGGACTACAGGATTCCCATCAAGACGTCCCCATCATGGAGAGCCACCAGCCTGTGGTACCCCGTTAGCGTTGCTCTACATCGGCCCAGTAAGGATCATCAACATAGCAAAACTTTCTCAATATTTACTCGAAGACCCCAGCTTCTCTGAGAACCCGGAACTCTAAACCCCTTCAGACAACAACCCTAAGCCCCCCAACCACGGTACCAAATTCATTGGCACTTCTTTGTTTCAACACTCCTTTACCCGGGCCTCCTTGACTCCTTCACGCCGGAACCTGGCCAATGTGGCTTGGATTGCTTTGGTTGTAATGTAATTGGTTCCGAACGTTTTTCTGGCCTTTCTCTGGTGTCGGGTTTGGGATCACTCAACATAGGATTCGTGCGGAGGGTTCCGGGGCTCGAACTCGCTCTGCACCTGGAACCACCAAACCCAGCTAAAACCCAGACCCCAAACCAAAAAGTGTGATGCCCCAATGCCATTTTTGCAAGCGGACAGAAGCAGTTGTTGGGCTCAGGAACACACCGAGCGACCTTTGATACGACCTGCAGCAGTCGGTCGATCTTACCGTCCATGTTGTCAATCTTCGCCTGCACTGCTGCTTTGCAGAGGCCATTCCCGAAGCTTCTGAAGGAAAAGCAAAACCATAATCAGCTCGACCAAACCCCGAGCCGAAGCCTGAATCAAGACCCCTCTTCGAAGCTACTGGAGAAACCATGAAGCCCCCACCCGCCACCCAGCCCTTTCGCTATCCAAAAGTGTCCAAGCCCCCCTGCACCCTCGGCTAGTTTTAACCCTAGGCCAGCGGACAATTCTTCCTTCGAGGTTTGTGTTTAAGCCTTTGGGTATTGGGCTTAGACCGAAACTCTGAAAACTGAGACTCCACAACCCTTTTTCAGATCCAAAAAACACGGCGACTTCCCAACCCTGGAGGTCCTAGAAGCTGAAGCCCGAAATCCTAAGAGCCAAAAGGTGGTCCTCCAACTTCGCTTCTAGAATTCGCATCCTGTCCTCTTCCACACTGGAAAGGTGTTACATGTCTGATCTAGGGTTCAGAGTTTCGGGTGTGAGATTTTCGGTTCAGCATCTAGTCCGAGACTAGTGACTAGTGCTGCTGGCACTCCAGCTGCAGGGCTTGGTCTGAGGAACCCGATACAAGCCGCAGCGGATACAACAAGCGAATGGCAAACCTCTACTGGGCCCCAGTGGATACAACAAGCGAATGGCGCATCACCTCACAGGGATTGTGAAGCAGACTGTTTGCTGACTCATTGCCAAAGGCGAACTTGTTATGACGAGACTTGGTCCGAGTTTTGCCATGACAGCCTCCGTCCGAACACAAGGGTTTTCTGAGCCGCCTGGTTCGTGAATCGGGCAAGGTAGTCTGCTCAGCCCGTTTTTGTGCATAGTTCTCGTGGCGCTGCTGCATGATGTCGACACTGCACCGCTGAAGCAGAGGCCTTAAGCAACTAAGCCCTAAAGATTCAAACCGAATCCTAGACCTAAAAGCCGACCAAGGCATACCCAGGAACGTTTACGCAGATGATACCCTGATACTGTCCCCTCGATCACTCCTTATCAAATATCTGAGGCATGCTTTTCTTCAGCATTTCCTCGAAAAGTGGTGATAGGCTCGTTCCGCGCTGGCCCTCGGAGCTGGCGCTCGCACTGGTGCTGGCACTGGTGCTGGCTGGGCTAGCGTTCGCGCTGGCGGAATAAGGCTACAGCGCGAGAAGCTCCCATCAGGAAAACATGAGGTAAAACTGAAGGCTTTTCTGTAGACCATAGAGGTCCGAGACCCTAGAACAACGCCAGGTGTTTGAACTCCTGGTCAACCCCGAAATGGCGGTCTTCATAACAACGATGAAGGATACATTGGCCTTACGGTGGCAACTTACACTTAGCTGCTTGACGTATCCCAGAAGAAGTCGTCAGGAAGCTCAGCTTGCATATGAGTCGGACAAGGTCCTTCTGCTCTTGGTGCAGACTTTGAATTTTGTCCTCTTCCACCAAGGAAAAGCTTTAGTTGTTTTGATTTACGGTCTATAGGGTTTCGGAATCAGGCATCCACTCATCCGAGAACCAGTTGCTAGCACTCCAGTGCCACTTCGGGCGTTTGGGGTCAGGGTTAGTTGCGAACGATCTATATCGCAAAGCTGTGCTACGATACTGCATGCTCCAGCATGTACCTTTTTGCAACAAGATCGCTTGCTGACTTTCAACGGCGAATTTGTTTTGACGAGATTTGCAACGAAAACCCAAACCCTGAGAATCGCATTTCGACACCCGGAATCTGTTCCCAAACAGACTTCCCAACCAAGCCCTTCCAAACCCCAGATGAAATCCGAACTCCAGTTCGCTTCTTATAAAGTCTCATAGAGGTTGAACAGTGTGTAGGGTTTAGGGCAGGGGCCACCGATTACCAGATTCCGCGATGGGTTGACACTGGCTGCAAAAGAGATAGTTTCCAGGTTCGTAGCATCATACTTTGCAACGGCACTACAGGACCGATCCACGAATTATGCCATGTAGACCAACCACTTGGAGGCCGTCTTCTATTATTTCAGAGCCCAGTACTGTATACAAGCATGCAGGGAAGTAGCAAAATGTCTTGCTAACCATCGCAGGTAAGCCAACAAAGTTTCTGAAGTCCTTCAGGTCGCTGCGCATGCTTCGCATATCGTCCAACCCGGTGTCCTTCCAGGCCAGCGCGAACTGACTAAGAGGACGACGGTTTGTTACAAGATGTTTTTTCTTGTTGCTGTGGTTCTGGCTCTCAAACTTTAGGGATCCAGCTTTAACATTTTGGGTTTCATGAACCCTAGACATCCCGAAACCCTCGATACAATCCCGGGGCCAGCGTGAAACTCGACTGTACGGGCCGTCTGGGCTGGCTTGATTGGACGGATTAGGGTCGGGTTGAAGTTTTGGTCTTGGGGGTTTGAAGGTTGGGATCGGGTTTAGCGGGGAGGGCAACAGATAAAACAAACCTTAACTCCTTGACCCCGAGCATTGCGGCATAGGCTCTGTCCGGACCAATGCAAAAATCTCGCACTCCTCGGCAAAGCAATCCCCATACAAGCCGAAGAAGCTGCGATTGATCGTGTACCGAAGGCCTTGCAGGGTTGTGGGACTCAATGACTTCTACAAGTACTTTGCATGGGCTCTCATGATTTCACGGACCAAGGTCGATTTCCCGCCCATCGGACCGCCAAGGCCTGGGATAACGCTAGGAAAGAGCACGACGAAGTTAATGGCGATGGCGACAAAAATCAGCCAGCTGATCAGGGACCCGGCGAGCAACACCAGACAGACTACGGGCATGGCAACGCGACAGATGGGGTACTTCCGATCAAGGCTCCAGAGAGCACGCAGCACCTGCTGCCTGAATCGTTCGAAGATGTTCCTCTGGTAAGAAGCCCGTTGACGGGCAGGAGGAGGCGCCATGATCTCCTTGAGAGGGCTAAGTGCTATCTCTGGGAGCGTCGCAAGCAGCCAGTTAGGGTGCGGAGGCTCAGGAGCTCTGCGGTCCCAGAGATGGCGTCCCAGCCAGCTGCTCATCAACATCCAAGGCCTCCACTGCACCTCTGTGCTTGTCTTCTTTCTAAATGCCATGACACTAACAACAGCCGCGACTACGAATTTCATGCCTGTGAAACCCTGTGAAGCTTTTCTCGGTGAGCCTTACTTAGAAGCACTCTCCCTGCCTTCCGGTAACCCCAGACTCTGAACCCCAAGACTCTTATATAACCCTCAACCTCAAAACCCGGCACCCGAAACCCACCTCGCACCTCCAGCAGCATACGTGCACGGGCCTGCATGAAGAGCACTTGCGCCCGACCCTGATGTATCTCGTAGTTCTGGCCTAGGATGGCAATCAGCCTTACTTGCTGAGTTCAGTGCTGCTCAGGGTTTTATTTGTGTCTTAGGAGTTGCGGGTTTCGGCTGTAGAGTCTTTGGCTTTGGGTAGACAGACTGGGAAACCGGAAGATTAAGAGTTAATGAATTAAAACAGTTGCCCATATCGCACCAGAGTAGCAGGTTCATAAGCAGCACCGTAATGCCAATCCCCGTGACGAAGAAGCACAGCTGCAGGTAGATATAAGGGAGCTCTCCCACATCTTTTGGGCTGGGGTCATTCGGCGCCCACTCGCCATCCACTTGCTCAAAGGTGGTGTCTTGGCCCTGGTATTCAAAGAGGTCAAAATCACCGAAGATGGCCAATCGAACCGTGTGCAAGAACGAAGAGTAGATGGGGTATTCGTCGTCGCCTCCGGCACCGATTTTCGGGCTCAGGGCTGAACAATCCAGAGACAAAACCTTGAATGAATCAATGAACCTACGCAACCACACCCTAACCCGGCAAAAGACAGATCCCCGTATGCCTATGACTCAAAGACTATTCATTGCTTCACCTCGGGGGTTCATGATCACGTAGGCATGGGTCGCACTTGCGACACAGAGGGAGGTGACGAAGAGAAACGCCCCGGTGTCTCGAACGGCTGATATAATCGGTAAGAGGTAGGGCCCCAGCCACCGCTCTCCACGAAGGCTGTACCTGCAGTCAAAATCTCTACAACTTTCAGTGCCCTTCATATGAAGCCCTCACCGTTACACAAGATGTCTCTTGGGCTGAAGGTACATGAGTCGGAGCCAGTACATCGAGCAAAAGGCTGGCAGCCAGAACGGCTCCAACTCTTGCTTGCTGCAGAGACCCGTCTGGCGCCAGATAGCATTGAAGCCTGGGTTGCTCTCAACTAGCTTGAGGTTTGGGTCGCGGGATGGGGCCTCCAGCTGGCCACAATATCGCGTTTTTTCCCAAGAAACTTAATGTAGCTACAACAAATGGAGTATATAAATAGTAAATGACATGCCTGTCTCATTGTGGTAACTTGAAGATATCCTTAACAAAAGCCAAGGAGCCGGCAAACAAGAAAAACACATCAAACATATTGTCGAGGGCAAACACAGGACGACCAAGGAATACATGCTCATCATTCAGCAATTCTATGTCTTTTCCGTTAATACGATAATCCACATCCTGCCTGGATTGATCGGGACATCTTTCAACGATCAGAAGCCTAATCTCCGAAGCAGAAAAGCAATAAAGCCTTTTTTCAAGAATCTCGGAGACACCGGACACGTTCCATGCACACGCGCTTGTCTCTGGTCTGAAGCCAGCGAAGAAAAGACACGCAAGCAAGCTCACAGTGCCAAATGCATTCCACAAACTCTTTGCAGAGAATGGCGGACAAGACCCACAGCTCCGGCCTCGAGTCGGGACAGACGCATGACTGCGCCCTTGAAGAGTCGCTTGACTTAGACAATTAGAGTGGCAAGTTTTGCAGTGGAACATGTAGTCAAAGAACCACGGGCCCCCTTCGAAACTTCAGGACAATTGCTAGGGCACCGGCTGGGCATCCATACCTCCATAACGGCACTTCCAAGTCACCAGGCACAAACATCCCAACCCAACGCAGTTCAGCAAAATGTCCACCACGATGGTAAACCGAAACTGGAGCCATGCCGCTTCGGTGATGACTTCTGCGGCATTTGTTTGTAATGTCTCCTCGTTTTGTGTCACTGCCACAGCCTGAAGCACTGAGGACGTGCACGCCAGAGGTGCTGCGAGTGGTATGCGGTGCAACACCACTTCCACTTCCCGAAAACCGAAGAAGCTGTGCCACCTCAAAGCGAAAGCATCGACCTCCTCGGCCTTCATTTGATCGTCCGATGATTCTTCAAGAAAACGTTGCACCTCGGTTTCTGGAGCAAGACGGGTATGTCTAAAACTACATGTGCTAGAAACCAGGAGGTGTGTAGTGGTATGTCGGGCACAGCCATTGAAAAGCGCACTGGCTTAGTAACCTACAACAAGCATGCCCCGCACCTACTGACAGACTCACTGCATACTTGGTACCTGCTTCCTATCCCACGCATAATCGCAAAGGACTGTGCCCACGGGTTCCTTCAAACTCTCCCATCGTGGCTTTGCGATGTCCACCTGCCGAGATCAAGTTTCTAGACGGTCGTCTTGTGATCATAGCAGCACTACTAGTTACTAGTGGTTCCATGGCTTTTCTATGCCGACAGAACACGCTGAACTACCATTGCAAGTCACAAGCTGTTTTCTTGGAACGGCGAATTCCAATCGGTGCACTCGTGGTGCCTGCATCAGCACTTGCTTCCCTTGTCCAGTTCGTTCCGGCTTGGGCCATGCACGCGCTGCTTCATTCCCCTTTGCTACTTTGATAAACCGCCGCTACTCTTGCGGCTGTGCTCCGTGTTTGCTTCCGCTGCACATTGTCACTCATTCTAGCTCACTCTCTCTCCCTCTCTCTGCCCTCTCTGTATCTCTGCCTCTTCTTCACCATCGCCAAAGCAGAGGGCGAATCCCCCCACACCCCGCACGCAAGCGTGCCCTGCGTCTGCAGCTTGAGACTACGAAAGCCCAGTACAATACTAGGACGACGAACCTGCCTCCACAAGCACGACATGAAACACAAGACACAAACAGACGCTCCTGCATTGTTCACGAAAAGCAACGGCAAGGAGTAATATGCTGCTATCGAGAACAGGTGAACAATTTGACAGCACCAGAGCTGCCCCTACTGGCCTGCCTCAGAAGCAAGAACAACTTACTGGATCTTTGGCTAAAGCGAACTGGGCTTTCACTCTCGCTCTCTCTCTAATGCCCTTCCCTGTGACTTGAGTTTGAATAGTGAACCTTGTAGAGTAAAGGACAGTGGAGCTGCCTTCAGGATCATTGCTGAGTTGTGACTGTGCCGACTGCTCAAGCGGACAATGCTGGTGAGGAGCGCATGCACAGACGTCAGGCAGAGCAGCAAAGGCATCGCACAGCAGGGCTTACACGTTCTGTTTGCGGAAAAAGGAGTGTGTCCCCGAGGGTTGACGGTCAAGAGCAAGGGCCTTTGAGTCTCTGGAAGCCTTTTGAAGCAACATTGTTGAGAAGAAAGTGGACACCCTCGAGCCCAACAAGACAATCAATCTTTCCACAAGTTATGAGTTCCAAACTCGGGATGCGCGTAAACCAGTTCTGGAAGGAAAAGCTATGGGCCCCGCTTACGGGGCTATGAACGATGGGCTTCATCCTGCACCTGCTAGGCCAGAGCTGCCAAACGGTGTTCCCGCTCAGCCAATGAGGGCAGAGGACCCACGCGGAGACAGTTGCTGGAAGTGGCGGGAGGACAGTGGAGCGGCCGTTTTTGTCCCCAGAATCGACTCAAGGACCAGCGAAGAACGTAGGCCTGAATAGGCCCCCAGGAGGAAGTGCCCCGCAACTGGAACTGACGCTCGACGCTACAAGAACGCTGGACGTGGAAGTGATGTATGGCGCTAACGGTGATCAATCAAGGACCGGCGGCTGTGAGATGGGTGGCACGGTTGACTGACTTCCTGAGGACAACGGCACCACAGCAACAACCTCAGTAGTCTGCGCGGATGCAGCAGCTAATGATGCTAATGTTGTCACAGCAGCAACAGCAAGCACAGCTTACGCCGCAGCGCATACAGCAAATGTCCCCTACGGCGCGAAGGAACTTGGTACACGCACTGAACTTCTCGCCACCTGAGGAGCTGCCGGGAACGTCAAGGACCGATCAGCAGCGAGGCAACCAGAGCTTGTTCAACACAGAACAGCTGCAGCGGTTGAGAGCCCTGGAAATGGAAGCCCCCACTCTCTACGGGGTACCATCTCAGTATGCGCATGGAGGCTGAGCATCCACAAGAGTTCGCGAAACAGCACAGGAATGAGACTGTTGATTTGCATCAACAAGTGGAGCAGCTAAGGCGAGAGCGAAATGAACTCCAGGCGGTAGCCGACACAAATGCCATGCGCGCCCAGTAGCTACCTGGAGGTGATCGTGTACTTGGAGGTGATCAGCTACCTGGAATGATCGGGCAAGGCACTCGCAACTACCTCGAGGTGATCGTCTACCTGGAGGTGATCAGCTACCTGGAGGTGCTCGCGCAAGGCACTCGCAACAGCTACCTGGAGGTGATCAGATGCACTCGCAGCTACCTGGAGGTGATAGTCAGATGCACTCGCAGCTACATGGAGGTGACGATTCAATGGCATTCGCAGCTACCTGGAGGTGATCGTCAGATGCACTCGCAGCTACCTGGAGGTGATCGTCAGATGTACTCGCAGCTACCTGGAGGTGATCGTCAGATGCACTCGCAGCTACCTGGAGGTGATCGTCAGATGCACTCGTGATCAAGAAACAGAAGGCCGTGAGCAGTCAAGTCGCCCAGCCGAACAAAGGGATGAAAGGGAGGCAGACGGGTCAAGGAGTCCAAACCCTCAAGGTCCTACACAGCCTACGCCAATGGAGCTTCTCGGTGTTATCACTACGGGGATGCGTCAGCTTCGGGAGGTCCAGATGAAGCAGATGGACAATCGAGACGGGTCTGAAGTATTCAAAACAGAAATATCGTCGCTACCTCAGCTTGATGCACCTGGCAAAAACACCAATCCGGTGGATGCCCAGGATTGGCTGCAGGAAGTCGGATCGATCTGGGAGACTTGTCGGACACCAGCCATGAGTGGTGGACAGGAGTACGCGAAGTGGCTGATGAGCACTATAAGAAGTGGGTCACCGCAACCCCGATGGAGAAGTTAACCTTGGCGCTTCCCCAGAACACTAAACTCCGCGTCAACGCAAGGGCGGCTGGGACGATCCTCGGCACTCCTTGGGAGGTCAAAAGCGAGTACAGGCCGGGCGGTGAAGAGGAGAATATGTTGTTGTTGGAACAGCTGATAACTCCGGAGGGAACGTCCACACCAGAGTCGGCAGTGCAGGCACGCTCTTTGTGTTTGCTCAAACATGCTTTACATTTCCTACCTATATAGCGCTTCTGTGAATTCCTTGCTACACATCTCGCCGCAAAGCTGCAAGAATAAAGAAAGGTCTCGACATCCCCACGCGCCCACCCTGTGGGGTGCATAGCACAGGCGCCGCAGTGCGCTACGAAGCTTTATGCCAACGTGCATTGTACACATGCTGCGCATACAGACACAGCGATCAAGTCGAGTATGACATCCGTCCCTATCTCGTGCGGTATACTTGCTCTTTGATTATTTAGCTCCATGGTTTGCGTGTTTTCTACACTTGCGCAGCCGCTGATCGTACAGGTCTTGTATCTATCTGACTTAACGATTCGACTGCTGCTCGACATGTCTTACCGCCAGAGGAGAGTATCGGACTCCACGGAAGTGAATATGTATGTTTATATGAAGATTTCTTAGAGCATAACTTGCGGCTAGATGTAAATGTAGAACTCCGGAAATGGAGAAGGTGGTTCTCGAGGCTTGACGGGGCAGTGCCCGACCCGGTTCTTATGGTAAAGGGTCTGGCGTTGATCGTGGCCCCGGTCCTTGTGAAGAACCAGGACATCTGGCTCGGGACAACCATGATGAGCAACCGGTTGCAGCTGGATAGCAACCCTAAGCACTTGTTGGGTACCACGTCTTCTACGACTTCGCGGACGGCTCCAAGGATCAAGAGTGCGGTGACAACTCAGGACACGGCTGCTTCGTCTACGGCAACCCCACGGGCGAAAGGGAAGGCCGAATAGAAGGACAAGCTTTGGACGACGGCTGCCGCCGAGGAGCAGATTGCCAGATTCAGCACGACTGGGGCATCACAGCCAAAGGGCCAAAAGAGGCCGGTGTTTGGTTCGCTCAGCGGTAGGCCACCAAAAGAAGGACTGCCCTACGAAATATGGTGACGCTACGCAGCAGTCGCCAACGTCGAGTTCGACCAAAGGGAAAGGAAAAGGGGACAAAGGTGGAGGAGCAGCAGCGGCAGCGGCGACATCTCCGTCTACAACAACCCGAACCTTCTCCCGTGCAAAGCCCTGCGAGCTCATCCAAAGAGCCGCCTGGCGATACGCAGCAGATCCTTAGTGATGCGCTCACAAGATGCTGAAGACAATGATGGCGAAGACGGCCCCCACGGCAAGCACTTCGACCTCAGGGGCACCAACTTACCAGTCCATCCAAAGGCGGCTCGACGAGATGAAGCTCAGGGCCTGGAAGGTGAAGGCTCCTCCGCAAGACGGTGATGAAGTTCGAGGCGCCTTCCTGGACTCATGTCGCCTACTGAGGTCTATTATGTGAACAAGGAAACAGCCTTGGCTGCCTGGCAGATTCTACTGTACCTGGTCGCCCACACGTGTTCTAAGGGGAAGCTTGTTGGGATGATGAGCAACGTTTCCGGCCCGAGAGAAGGTGTGGACGTGTGGCAAACACCGATGATGAAGGAGTTCTTTGAAGTGGCGGGTGGGTGACTACAACGATGCTCGGTGTTGCAGGTGAAGAAGATCGCCAGGGCCACGCGTTGAGAATCAGCGAAAACCTCGACGCGAAGGAGCTCCTACAGGACGGCGAGCAGCAACCTACCTGGCTATGGATGTCCTGGAGTGCAATGGGCGCGCAATTGAGGAGGTCGCTGACGACGGCGACGCAAGCCTCGGGCATAGCCTCTACAATGGCCTGGCAGCCTCAGGGTGAGTTTCGCAAGTTGACGGCTGAGCAGGGCTGGAAACTACATGTGCAACGGGATCATGTACCCTTCAGAAAGGATTGCGAGTACTGTGTGATGATGATGGGCACAGGAAAACAACATCGGCGGACCAAGCCGAAGAGCGCTTACGTGCTCAGCGTAGATGTGGGCGGGCCGACGCGAATCAAAAGCTAGAATCAGCTAGAACACCCATGGCAGTGGGTACCGCTACTTTTTGGCAGCCTCCTACTCGAGACGGCGGCTTCCGGGTCAGGAGCCACCTCCCGAACGAGATCAAGTGGATATGGCGTCATTGAAGCATGACTTCTCAGACCTGGAAGGTGATGGACGAGCGTTTGGACGAGGAAGCGCAACAAGCTCTCCTCGAGTCGGAGCTGGCGGACATCGAGCTATCGGAGCCCGAGGTTGATGAGGAGTTCAGCCAGGAGATCAAGGCGATGAAGGCAGCGGACCGGCTATGGGATGATGATGATTTACCGGCCGAAGAGCAGGCGAAGGCAGCAGCGGAGGAGGCGCCGTTGGAAGGAAACCATGAGATCCCGATGGACCATTTGTACTTCGTGAAGCCTCTCAAAAGCAAAGACGGCAAGGCGGTTATGACGGCGATCCAGGAGATCATCTTGCAGCTGAAGCAGGAGAACTTACCGGTGACGCAGGTCAACTCGGACCGAGCTCACGAAATGAGGTCTCCGGCATTGAGAGCGTGGATGCTGGATAATGGCATCTGGCTTACGAGGACAGAAGGCCAAGCACCTGAAAGCAGCGGCTCAGCAGAAAGAGCAGTGCGCTTTTTGAAGAGGCGTGCTCGAATGTGACTGCGTTCGGCAGGCCTGGGAACGGCGCACTGGGACACCGCGATGGAAGCCGCAGCTCATCGTCAATGCGAGGAAAGACTTCGGCCCGAAGACCCCCAACTACCATGCCCTTGCGGCACCCGTGCGGCGATCAAGAAGAAGAGGTACGGTGATGGGGGAAGACATGATCTACTTCTTCACTGGAGAAAGGGGACCTGCATGGGCCCAGTATGGGATTCCAATGGTGGCTCTGCAGTTTTGGAAGATGAGACCAACAGCTTCACGATCACCACACATCTTCGAGCTCGCCTACACGATCCTGGAGCTTTGAAGCATGAACAGGAAATCAATGCGCTACCTCTGAGACCTGGGAGGAGGCAGACGGAAAAGGCTGCGATTGGAGCCGATGGCCGAGCGGTGAGAAGTTTAGAGAAGGCCAATGTGGAGAAAACCCGGGCGACTTCAGTGAAGGAAGTTTAGACCTCCTGGCAAACGACCCGGCGCACAAAGTGAAGAGGCCACAGCTGGCGAATGAGGACGCGGTCGGCGAGGCCAGCTACAGCTACTGTACGGTGGGAGCTTACAACTTTGGAGGCAAGTTCAGCATCACGAAGTATACCCAAGAAGCCCCACAGCTCACCGAGAAGGTCACTCAGCTGCGAAGGATTGATTTGCCAGATGAGGTTTTTGCGTCGGCGACCATCGTGAGGAATGCGTCGATGCCAACACACAAGGACTCCTTCAATGAGCGGCATTCTCACAATTTGATATCGCCGCTGAAGAGCTCCAGCCTGGAAACAACTTGAAGGGAAAGTTCCACTCAATGGATGTGAATGGAACCCAAGCACCAGGTCAAGTTCACCCTTTGACAGGACCTGTGAAGGGGAACCCCCGGCGGTGGCACAGTCGTATTCAGGGGACTGAAGGTCCTCGCATCCTCATGGAGGAAGCTCACGGGCGACATGCGGGAGGAGCTGTTCGAGAATGGGTTTGTGCTTCCTGACGAAGCAAGGCTGAAGGCTTTGCAGGAGGAGGCTGAGCAGACTAAGCACATGGAGTTCGAGGTAGACGAGGATGAGCTCATCGAGAGCTACGACAACAAAGACTCAGCCGTTGAAGTTGACGAGGACATCGAGAGATGTGCAAAGGCAGCGGCTGAGAACCTTTACGCGAGAGGAATCGAAAAGGTCCTGGCCGAGTTGGAGGGCGACCTGAGGGTCGTGCATACGGTGCACCCCGGCGAGGTGGAGGAGGCCATCGAAGAGTGGATTCCGGCCCTGAGCTCCGAAGTCAACACGCTAGAATATATCAAGGCGGTCAAGCCACTACGAGGGCAAGCTGCTCGGGACTACATGGCGCAGCCTGGAGCAGTCATCGTACCGGGCAAAGCAGTATATACCGGAGGGGTCGCAACGCCGAAGGAAGGCTCGAATCGTAAGTTGCGGGAACTTTCAGCCCAAGGGTGACAACGAGATCAAGTACTCCGGGGGTGCGGTTGCAGAAGCAGTTCGGCTGGGCATAGCTGAGGCGTCAAGCAATCGGTGGAGCGCTTGCACAGGAGACATTGTCAGCGCCTTCTTGAGGGCGGTGGTTCCCGAAGGAACCACGCTGGCGTTGAAACCGCCGGCGGCCTTGGTTAAGGCCGGCCTGGCGGAGGCAGGGGAGATCTGGGTGGTCCAGACTGCTCTGTATGGATTCCGCTCATCTCCACAATGGTAGAGCACCCAGAAGACCAAAGAGGGCCTCGCTTTTGTCCAAGGCCAAGCTGACGCTGATGTGTGGCAGATCAAAGGCCCCGATCATCAGTCCATCGTGGGACTGATGATCGTGCACGTCGACGATCTTTTCTCGGACGACGCCTACGCACGGATGGCGACTTCTTGGGAGGTGACGCCGTGTCAGTATGCGTCTCCATCGACTTCGGTGTTCTTCCTCGGGATGGAGATCAAGCAGGAAGTGGACAATGAGGGCAAGATCACAGGCTACTCCCTCGGTCAGGAGGGGTACATTGAGGAGGTCTTGCATCAGCACAATGCGGCCCCGACGGAGAAGTCCTTGCTACCTTCAGCAAAGGAATGGATGACGATGGATCCCAAAGGTTTCCCGACCACCTATAGTCAGGAGCAACTTGTTGCAGCACAGTCTATCACGGGGGAACTCGCATGGTTGGCACAAAGAGGCAGACCTGACTTGTCGTATATGGTGAGTGTAATGGGAAGCCCCGATGCAAGGCACTTGCATACCTAAGTGCGACAAAGCAGTGGAAGCTCATGTTCCATTCTGGAAGCCGCCCGGAGCTGGTGACCTACGCAGACAGCAGCTACTCGCCCCGAAAGAAGCCACGGAGGAGCCGTGCGGTCGCTTGGAAGAGCAGCCGGCACTCACTGGTGACAACCAGCAGCGCGGAAACGGAGTTGCTGTCGGCATCGGAAGGGGCGACTTTGACCTACGCGATCGATGCAGGGCTTTCAGATGTGGGAGTGTTTCCGTCCTCCAAGGAGATCCGTGTTGACAACTCAGCAGCCATAACTTTGGCTTCTGAAGAATGGCTGGGCCAGCATTGACGAAAGTAGAGCTCAGAACCTTGAGCGCCTTGCTGCTGAGGGATCAGCAAACCCTCACGAGAGATGAGAACATGGATCTGATCCATCTTGCAGGCCTTTGTGGATCAGATGTGTCAAAGGCGGTGGGAATGAGCGTGACATCTTCCGGAACTGGGCGACCTTTGAAGACGGTGCCAGAAGCAACCAGCTCAGCTAGCATAGGGCCAACTGTTGAGGAGATGTTTGAGCCGAACTCCGTCAGCTCCTGTCAAGCTGGGAGGACCCGACTTGGACTGGAAGGCCCGAGCTGGTCAGACGTCCTCGGCGAACTCCGGAGCACCTAAGAAGGTGTTCATGACGCCGCGGGGAACATGCGTTCATGCAGCAAGGTCGTGCTCAACACTGACGTCGCCACCAAGTAGGGGTGAAGAATGCCTGTCCCTGTGACTTGAGTTTGAATAGTGAACCTTGTAAAGTACAAGACAGTGGAGCTGCCTTTAAGTTCATGGCTGAGTTGTGACTGTGCCGACTGCTCAAGCGGACAATGCTGGTGAGGGGCGCATGCACAGACACGCCAGGCAGAGCAGCAAAGGCATCGAACAGCGGGGCTTACACGTTCTGTTTGCGGAAAAAGGAGTGTGTGCCCGAGGGTTGATGGTCAAGAGCAAGGGCCTTTGAGTCTCTGGAAGCCTTTTGAAGCAACATTGTTGAGAAGAAAGCGGACACCCTCGAGCCCAACAAGACAACCAATCTTTCCACAAACTCTGACTCTAACTCAACCTCTAACCCCAACTCCAACTCCAACTCTAATTCTAACTCGAACTCTCTCTCTCTCTCTCTCTCTCTCTCTCTCTCTTCATCGTTCTCTACTCCATGAGCCAATCGTCAACTTGCCGATGTTGCGGGCTGCACGGAAGCCCGGCCTTTTTCAGCAAGCCACGAACCATTTCCGTGCAGTCCTGCCCTTGTCCAAGCAGCAGTGTCACGAGCATGCGCAAGATCCGTGTCTCTTCCTCCTGGTGGTTCCTGTCCCACAAGAAGCGCCTGCAAAAGTTGTTAACGAACCTTTTGCGAAAATCGCTCTCCTGGATGTCTGCTTCACTGCTCGAACTCTGATTTATGCTTTTTTGCGTTTGACTTGCTGCACGATGCAGCAGGAACCACATGTGGATGTCGCAAGCCGTCGAGCAAGAAGCTGCCGAGAGCGCCGTGAGCCCATCGGAATCTCTGGCATCCAAGTCAGCTCTCGACCGTAAGAGCTCCCATGCGACATGGCTGTGCCCCGACACGACCGCTGCGATGAGGGCCGTGGTCCCCGGCAATTTACCATCTGGGGGGGCGAGCAGCCCCTTCTCTTGGGCGAGCCGACGAAATGCGGCAGGCTCTGGCGCGAAACTAGAAGTCTCTTTGCCATTTTCCAACTCATTGGGATCGGAGCTGTTGGCCAGGAACTCCTTCACCTGAGAGATCTCTCAGTGGAGAAGCGCTCACAAAGCAACATCTTCCCCATCTTTAGGATCCCCTAGATGCCTCCAAATCACCTTTTCCAGGTCGCCCCTTCCTGCAGCTTCTACCAAGCTGTCCTCCTCTTTGCACTTGTCGCCCTCAGCACTCGCACTCACCTCATAGAAATTCTAAGTTCGAGCCGTTACACAGGAGAATCACAAAGTGTCACGAAGGAACCAGCAAACCCTAAGCCATCCGCCCTAAATCCCCAAACCTGAGAAAAAGGCACCCCAAATCCTTAAAATTAAAACCCTACACCCCGCAGCTTACGAAGGCTTGTCAGTGTTACTGAACGATTGACATAGCGCTTTTGGATACGTTATGGTAGGCTATGTTAGGGAATCCTAAGGAATAATGTTTGTACTTATTCATGCGGCTGGTGTTGTCGTGATGATTCTTGCATCGAACTTCAAGAGACCCACCTGGCGCTTGAACCCCTTCTAGCAATCAGAGTCACATCCTCTCTTGGATGCTCCGTCTCGTCCGGGCCTGCTGCCGCCACCTATCGGGCTTTAGGGACTTAGGGTTGCTTGGGTTTCTGTTATGTTGATGTTCCCCTGGTTTGGGTTCCTGGTTCAGGGATGATGCGGCCAACCCTAACTCCACGTCAGAAACCTCAACAACCAGAAGAGGCACTACAACAGTGGGCGAGGCCTGAACGAAAGACTGAGGCGGGCTTCAGGGTGCAGGGTTTGTAAGGCTCCGACCTTTCCAAGCGCCATACCCCCAAAACTTCCTAAAATCCCAGACTAAAGCCGGATACGCAGAGTCCTAATCGCCTAAAGGCTTGCAGGCATGCTTTCATAATAACATGCCAGTGATTCGCATGCCCAGCATGACCATGGTTATGGCGATGAATACTTGCTTTAAGAGTACTACGCGAACGGCAGCTATGCAGCTATGAAGCCTGATCACTGTTATGAAACAGAAACTTTTTGCGACCCCTTGAATTCCTCCAAGACACCTTGTTCAGGTCGCCAGCTTCCACCTCTGCTTTGCCCTTGTCGCCCTCAGCACTCGTACTCACCTGGGAGATAGTCTAAAAGCGAGCTCCTTTGCAAGGTGCGTCTTAGACAAAGCTCAGGTGCCTGAAATACACAGGTACCTTACAAGCAACCCCTAAACCCTGAATACTAAACCCTCAGCCGAACTTCGAGAAACCCACCTGGCTCGCGAACCCCTTCTGGGCAATCAGTCAGAGTCACATCCTCTCTTGGCTGCTCCATCTCCTTCGGGCCTGCTGCCGCCACCTATCGGGCTTTAGGGTTTCAGGGTTGTTCCTGGTCCTGGGATCGACGGCAAACCCAAACTCAACGTCGTAAACCTCAAGAACCAGAAGAGGCCTGAACAAAAAGCTGATAGTAGCTTGGTTGAGGGGTGGAAGGCTTGCACGGTTCAGACCTCTGGTTCCTTCTAAGCACGAACCCAGGGCGTGGTAACCAGGGTCCTGATCACCTAAACACCCTGGGTGTTTTCTGTGGTACCGATAGTGAGATGTTGCTGTTATCACTATTCATGAGCTAGTTTGGGGGGTATCATAGCGGCTGCAATTGCTGCTGCAAATCCTTGTTAGTTCAAGTAGCCTCTTGCTTCTGTTCATGTCATTGTTGCCACGAGCTCGGCCATTGCTACCAGCAGCAGGCGATGATGAATAGTTGCTGTTACTGCCTGTCTCTCGGCTGCAAGCTACTATCAGTCAAGTACGGCTACGACTGACTACAATTCACGTAATAATCATGAGTTGCAAAGACCTGCGTCATACCAACTGCAAAAACAGTAAAACAGTATACTGCTCCTGCACTTTGACTTTACCCACTTGCCTTCAAAAAGCATCAGTTCCAGTGTTGGCTGGTACCACGACACTGCTGTGCCTGCCCTAGCTGCCATCTTCACTCTGGGTCATAGAGATGCTACCCTCACAAAGCAGTTCTTTGGTATGCCTCCTTCTGCTCATCCTCCGGTGCGGCAGCAGTTTGCTCCACTGTCGCCTCAATCTAGCTGATGTCGGGTCGCTTGCTCTAGTTGGGGAACATAACAACCGAACTTCCTGCACGTACCTTCTGCCAAACAGCCGTGCTGTAGTCAAAGTCTTCAGCTGACCGGAAGACTCACCCAGCCCTCGTTCCAAAACATGATCAAGAACAACGTTCGACTAGCGGCAGGCAGGCCCTGTCCAGCACACTCGGCGGAGCCCTGGGCTTTGCCCTTCGCCGGAGCAGGTGCCTGCAAAGGATGCACATGAAACAGGCCCTCATGGGCCAAGCAACTACGCCTGATCGGCAACTAAGTAAGCACAAACTCCGTGCAGGTAACTTTGCCACTGCCGAAGGCCACGACACATGGCCTCCTTGACAGGGGCAGCTGCTTCCGGTGTGGCCTCTGCCTCCCAGCAGAGTGATGCGGCGCACCCTCCTGAAAAAAGCTAGCAAGGATACCTGCCTCAGCAGGCACGGTGTCTTCTGGGACCACCGCAGTTGCCGGAACCTCCTTTGCTTCTGTGTTCGCTTCGGCTGCCTGTTTGCAATATCACAGAATGTCTGCACTCGCTAAGAGCATTTGCAATGCAACGTAGCTCAGCATCCGGCAGCAGCAACAACAGTAACAGCAACAGGACGTCTTCGACTCCAAGAAGTTCTCATTTAATCTATCAGCAGCTGGGTCCAATTCAAGCTTTACACGCCAACCAGAGTTGAGTTGCAGGATCTTGCGGTCTGATTAAGGGGCCCTTAATCGCGGCATATTTATTATAGTACCCACTATGTCGATTACGGAACCCTAAGGCTCTAAGGAACACTATTGATAATTGCTCAGGCCCTCTATTAGGGTTCAAGATTTATTGCCGGCCGCAGTTCTTGTTTTCGGACGTGCGTTTCGCATGTCGAACTGCGGCCTGAGGAAACACAACACACGGTTACAGGAGGTTTGGAGACGGCCACGATATCCGGGGGATGAGTGTTAGTTTGGGATTCCGGAGGATGAGAGCATGTAGAGATTCTCGACAGAAGCCCCCCTCGTAAGAAGCTAGCCAATGCTGCCGGGCAACTTGGGGTTTCGCTGAGCGCTTTGTGTTCCGAACCTGGAACCATCTTCAAAAGCCAAGGCTGCCAATGTAGAGTGTTGTGAAGTCTATTATCGTATGATTCTAAATAAGGAGCCCTAAGGAATCATACTGAGAATCCGCCGAGGCCGGAGGCCATCGACGTCTAGATCGGACCAGGTTGGCTGGTTAAGAATAGAGTATAACCCACCCCCTACCCTCTCTCAGTGGCCTGCGAGGGGGGGTTCTAATTTCGTTGCTTCTTCAGGAGGGAAGGAGGGGGAGGGGGGGGAGGGGGCTTCCGCTCCTGGCCTCGACTACCGTTGCCGAGGCGGCCTCGCGTTGGCGATAAAATTATTCCGACCTTAATGGCCTACCCTGCGAAATCCCTGAATCGAGAAACTTCGAGCACACCAGCTGCGAAATGGTGCACCAAGCATGACATTGCACATGATCCTTCTGATTACAATCGCTGACCTATCTACGCAACCCAGAATGGTCCACACTGAACTCTACATCCTGCACCCTAGAGCAGTAAGACCCTACACAACACCCGTGACCGGTAGTCATATAACATGCGTCGTTTCCTTTGGAGTATGCTGAGTATGCTGTTTGTGGGCACCCAGTGAGGGTCTCACTACAGTATATTGCGGTAGTCCGCCTGTGTTTAGGACAATGGCCCGCAAGTGTTGTATAAAAGACCTACAAGCCTTAACAAGGATCAAGCGAACGTTGTTCAAGAAGTTGGATAAAGTCACGAGCATAAACGCAATGTTTACAATCCGTCCCTATGATGGTAAAAACGAGCAGTAAATATGAAACCCAATAATGGTCCTATATCTACAACCCCCTCGAAAACCAAACTGTATAGACACTACACCCTTAGACCCTAAACCGTAACACCCTCATAAGCCAACTGGTGGCCTTCTTGCCGTTCTGCTTCGCCTTTGCGGCCTGCGGATTGGTCGAGGGCTCGTCGACCACGGGAGTAAAGGAGGTCTCTTCCGAAGAAGGGCTCGCGCCGTCGGCCTCGGCACTCATGTGGGTAGAGTTTTGGGTTGCTTAGGGTCCACAGGGCGAGGGAAAAGAGGTGCGGTCTAGGGCATGGGAAATGCTAAAAATGGCTCACAGCGACAGAATTGTAGCTGGCATGTCGGAAGGCGTGGTCCTCGACGTCCCTGTTCTGCGCATTTCTGCGCTCCCGCCACAGTCTGATTTTGCATTTGGACTCACATGTGCTCTTGGAGCGCGCTTCTGGGATACGTGGGACTGAATGCTGTTGCACTGTTTGGGTCTTGGCTGGCATCATGTGTGTTCCCTAGGTTCGGGCTCGAAGACCTGTAGACGATGACCTGTCAAATCCGACATTGAACTGATGCCTTTCTTGTCTTGTGTGAGGGGTGCTTCCTAAACATCCTTCAACACACTGCCAACAAGTCTGCATGTCGAACTTCCGCAGTATGAGCTCAGCTGCAGTCTCTTGAAATTTTAAAAGCCTGCAGTGACTCTTGCAGCCATCGGACTTCGCTCATCGGCGGGGCACGGCTTGAGGCTTTCGTTGGACAACAACGCCCAGACTACGATGCATTGGCTTTTGAGAAAGGAAAAGACCACGGAATGAGCATGGCAGTAAATTGAGAGTGGCTCGTTCGTTGTCGTCACTGGAGATCTGATGTCGTGTTCGTTTGTTCTGCGTCCAACACATGTCCCACAATCGGAGAAAGCCGAGTTGAACTGGATTGAACATGTCCAGAACGGATGGGCCCACATGATGGAATGGGATATTGGGGGCGGGGGCTGCCCTAAGACTCAAAGTCCCCAGTTTCAGACTACTCTCCCACCGGCCCAAGAATGCCCAGGGCTAGGGAATATGAAGGTACGGTTCGCATGATGCCAACATACATGACAGACAACTGAATGCACGAGAAGGTCTCGCAATCAACACACTCTTTACAAATCCGCGGTCTTTTCAACTTTGGAGCACTTCTACGGGCGGCGCCTACTTGCCTCTTGAGCACGAACCCGTGACAATGGTTAAGAAGACCCAAACAAAACACGAGCGAACTCTTATAGCACCGTTGTAGAGACCCCTTGTGGAAACATTAGAACCCTCGTGGAACCCTGAAAAAGCCTCTTGAGCCCCCTTCTGGACCCCGGACTTCTTCCAGCATGGTTGAATTGAGCTCTGAACTTCCTGGGATGACACAAGAACTCCATCTGATGCATTTCTGAGCGCGGCTTTTGGATGGCCAGGCTCACGGAGGCCTGATTCAGGGTACAACTCCCACTGAACAGCTGGACTAGTGCCTTGGGCATGCCCAGTCATAAAGGCCAGATCCGGACAGCAATGCCGCTCGTGCATGGTTTCGGCTGCGGGCACAATCTATAACCTCTTTTCTTAGACAGAATACGGCAACGCGGGCACACAGTGCGCAAGAGTATGTACTTTACCGAAAGACGACTCAGCTTCTGCCCGGTGGGTTTGGCGGAGGCGCGGTTGGAGTCGGAGTAGGTTCGGCAGGCCAAAGCCTTACCTTTGGTTAGTAGGGAATGGAAGAATGGTAGTAATAGTAGTTATAATTGTACTTCATTCCTCCATTCACTACTAACCAAAGGTAAGAAGCACGGACTCACCGAGTATTTGATCGGGAAGCATAGGGCTCAGCCCGCAATCCCGCAAATCATCAGCAGCGATAGGCCGCAATGCAAGATGAGGTCCAAGACCCGATTCCACAAAGCCCGGACCCCGAAGCTAGCATGTTGCAAACCCTAAACTGTCAACCTAAGCCCTCAACCCGAAATCCTATGCCCCAAAATGCCCTTACTTCTTGCTCAGGAGACAAGGTCTTACTAAGGACCAGTAGCTGGGCCTCCAGAGAAGCAGCCTCCAGAAACTGCACGGAGTGGGCTATCAAAGACTACGGTAATTACAAGGGGAACCTCAAGAATATGCATATATGTATATATGTATATGTACATATACATATGTATATATATATATAGTTATATGGCTATACAGTTATACAGTTATACAGTTATACATATATATATATATACACACACACATTTGTTGCACAAGGCGCGAATCTCCTTATCAGCGAAGAATATCGCAGCGCCCCTGTATTGCATTAAATCGCCGTGGAATTTCAAAGCAATATGTCAGTCCTGCGCCAAATGCCGATTGAAGGAGTGTTGCACTTGCCTGTTGGTTTATGTGCAGCCACTTATACCCCTGTTTGCTGGAGGCAGGTGTGCTCAAGCCCAACACGTGGTATTGGCTTGACACTTTGAAGTGTGCCCCCAGCAATAACTGATCAAAGCTATTGGCTTTGATCTTGTGGTAGCTTACTGGACAAGTTTGAGCGGTGGGGTTCTCCAAGATATGAGAGTTGTGTGGGCTGGGGCCCCATTTGCTTGCTGGTTTATGCCAGTTTGATCCCACTTCCGTTGCGCGAGTCCACACCTCGCGAAAAGCCGGGATTTCTGTTCTGCGCAATTGCTGCTCGATAATCATTGCATGCTCTGTAGGCCGGCTGCTTACAACGAGGTCTCTTTGCTTAGAAAGCGGAAAAAGATATCCACAGATAGAAAAATGGGTAGGTAGATAGAGAGATACACGCAAAGGCGCAGAGGTATTTCAGCATTTTCATCCTTACCCTAAGTACTACCGTAGGTCAGAAGACCCTTCTCCCAGCAGTTCCTTCGCTGACTCCTCTTCCCCCGTCGCAACCAAACGGAGGGTCCTTAAACGGACGAAGCTCTGCACACCCTGGGCCCCCGGGATTTCACAAGAACTGCATGGTTCGGTTTAGGGTTTAGAGTTTAGGGTTCGGGGTTCTGTGGAGTTTTCTCCAAGTGGTTGCTATCAGGGCTACGATAAAGGTTTCGGGGTTGGAGGTGTGGGGTTTAGGACCTAGGGTTTGGGATTGAGGGTTCAGGTTGTAAGGCTTAGGGCGAAGAAGTTCGGATGCAGAGTCAAGGGGGTAAGGGCTGAGGCTCGGCGTTGAGGGTTTGTTTGGTCTTCGAGGGGTTTAGGGACATCGCCTTCTGTTCCCAAGGTCTACAAACACGCACACACATCGCGCAAATGTCCCTCAAGGGCAGTGCAAAATCCAATGTGTTTGGACTGGACAAGTAGAAGGGTCAAATGAGATAGGTAGATAGATAGACGGACCGACAGACAGATAGATAGATACTTAGATAGTCAGATAAATAGACAGACGGATGGATAGGTAGATAGAAAGATACAAGGATAGACAGATAGACGGACAGACACACAGATAGACAGATACATAAATAGGCATCAGTGGACAGACCGATCGGTAGACAACTAGGAAGAGACAGACAGGCAGACAGATAGGTTGACGGACAGGTAGACGCGCAGACAGCGAGTGTTCTTGTTTAAAGATGTGAATCCTGACAGCACTGCCCCTGGTTCGGGATATCGGGCTGGGGCCTCCTTAGGCGTCAGCTCAAAACCCAAACAGCGGGCTCTCTTTGGAGGTGTTCCCTCCATGTCTAGTTTTCCATGAACATGAAAAGACTTTGCCTGCCACAAAGTGGAAGACGGCAGTCTTGTGCGTGCGGGGCTAGGTTTTCGCGCTGTCGGTAGCCGGGAAGGTTCACAAAGATGGAAGAGCTAAAACGAACACGTGGTGCCTTTCAGGCCACCAATGTCGTAAGCTACTATGCACCCGTAAGTCAGAGCAACCAGTAGCATGAAAGTTTGAAGCATGATGCTTTAAGTATGCATGGACAAGGCTTCTGCTTTGTGGCCAGGATGTCAGCTCCTCTTGGGTAGGAACCGCAAACGGACGGACACTGGCAGCGCACACACCCTAAAGCTAGAGCAAAGGCCTTGCCCGATGCTGCCGAACTTTTGAAAGCGCAAATGAAAGTGCTGGTACGAGTACTTCCAGTAGGATACATACCCTAAACTTTCATGTGGTGACTGTGACTACCGATGCCATCATCAGTGAATATGCGAGCACAGCCTACCGTTGCTGCCATCATGAATAAAGCCCGAGACCCTAAACCTGCCCTGAATCCTGAACTCAGAACCCGAATACCACTGTTCCTGGCAGCATTATCGAGCGATGCCAAAGCACATGTCACTCGCTCAATCATCCAAGGCCTGCGACGGAGTCGGGGTTTTGTCTATTTTGGATTGTGAGCTTGAGCTTCCGTGTTTGGGGTTTTGTTGCTTTTCCTCAGGTTTGATGCTTGGCAGATCCACTTGAGAATAAAGCCCTCAAACCGTGCAAACTTCAAACATGGGCTGTCGTGCTTCACCTGTCAGAACATGCCTATTTGAAGGACCCGGTGCTACCACAGTTCTCGCCGCTTGAGCAATGACCCCCACAGTTCTGCAGTGTTAAACTCTCAAGGACCATTTTCGGAGCGAACCGTCTCAATCTCGTGTTGAAAATTCCGGGGGGTTTGAACTCAGAGCAAGCTTGCCTCAACAACTAAGCGCGAGCCTTTCTTGGGCCATGAACTCGGAATCAAAATTATGACCTGCGGTTTAGAGGTTTAGCGTTTCGGTTCGACAAGTCAACCAAGATGCCTGAACGTTTCATAGTTTCGGGCTGTTTCCGCCAGACCAGCTACAGCAGTTTGGTGCAGGGTTTCGCATTGATCGTAGAGCAATCAGAAAGCCTTTGCTCTTGACAACATTCCAGGACTTCTGCTTCACACGCACCGAGCATAGTATAGCCTGTATAGGGTTTAGGGCTTTAGGCAAAGGCGCCTGGAGGATTGGAGGATTTCAGTAGGTTTTGAGGCAGGTCACACTCACGCCACAGGGGCACAAAGAGGGACTGTCGGCTACGGCTCCAAACCGCGAAACTGACAACCATAAGCCCATACCCCACAACCCCCTACACCCGGAAAGGGGTTCAAACGGTTTTATATTAGTTATAGGCATATAAAAGCAGTGTATATGGTGTTATCGGTCTTGCCTCTGCGACGGCTCTGACTGGAAACCTCTGCATGCAAGAGCTTCCCCTCGTAACCCAGTAAACCGCCACAAACCCAGAGCCCTGAGCCCCCAGGGGCCGAAGGGGAGAAACTTTCGCAGGCAGCAAGCAGCATCTTTGGCATAAAGCACTCCAATTCAGGACCCGGGAATTGCAAGAATCCGGATTTTTCGACACCTCTGGCCCGTCCTTTACTTGAGGGCTGAGGGGTTAGGGGTTAGGGGTTTAGGGGTTTCGCGTAGTTTCGGGTAGTTTCGGGTAGTTTCGGGTTTAGGGTCCTGAGCCCCAAGCCCAGGTCTTCGGCCGTTTAAGACTCTGAGCCGGGCCTTCTACACGCCCTCACGCCGGAACCTTGCCAGCGGGTTTCATGGTAGAGGTGTAGAGGGGTTTGGGGATGAGCTTACGATTTCGTTGACATGTTGTATTGGCCTTAGGTGTTGAGATGGTTTAGAGCTCAAGTTTATGTCAGGGCTGGTTGAAGTTTGGGAGAAGTTTGGGATTGCTCAACGGAGGAAGTAGCGCTGATCGGAGTGAGCGTTCTGGGGCTCAGACGCAAAGCATCTGCCTCTCCTGGTGTCTACTTTGCACTGAAACCACATAACCCAGATCTCAAACCAAAAGGAGTGCTACCTTAAGCTCTTGTTCTCAACGGGACCGAAGCCGACATTGCGCTCAGGCTCATGACGAGCGGCCTTTGATGATACCATGTTGAGCAGTTTGTCGATCTTGCCGTCCATGGAGTTCATCCTCGCCTGCACCGCTACTTGCACTTGGGGCTTCGGGTTAGGGTTCAGTGGAACCCTACGCTATCAAGGACCACCGAAACCCCAGAAAACATCCCCGAGCCCTTTAGAAAATCCAAAGTAAGGGGCCCTTTCCAAGAAGAACTGACTAGCAGGATCCGCCAGAAGCTATCCTATTGAAAACCCTAAACCCTGAACTAAAACCCTAAACCCTAAAAACGGAAGCCCTAAAACGAGAAGAGCCCAAAGCAGGTCCTTCTGCTCGTCGTGCTGCTTCTGCAACTTCCCCTCCAGAAGTTGCATCTTGTCCTCTTGAGATTAGGGTTCAGGGTTTAGGCATTGAGGGTTTAGGGTTCAGGGGTTTAGGGGTTTAGGGTTTAGGATTTTGAAAGCTTCAGAAAGTTGCAAGAGTCTAAGCTAGCGTGTGGACCGCATAGACTACCATCCCGGCTTAGCCACATTTTGCGTTCTTCAGTCCGGGGGTAGGGATTTTGTTTTAGGGGGAGCAGGACGGGAGGAGGGGAAGGAGAGCCGCAACGAAGGGGGCAAGGCGATGCTGCCTTGTCCCACTTCCTGTCTAAGGAGCGTTCCTAGCTTTCGGCTTGAGGTGCTGGCTGCATCATGAACACAATCGTAACGAACCTCAACATACAAAGCGAAATCAAGGTCTCAAGCATCGTTCACCACATCATCGTCATCAATCCCCAAGCTCGAACAGCCAAGGCACCGAAGGCAAACGGCACGGTAAACATCAGGTGCATCATGTGCCACTTCCGAAAGGTTACGTCGAAAACTACGACCAACCCCCGCGTTTGGCGAGAAGCACAACGTTCCTTCAAATTTCCAGGGGACAGTAACCCATACATCGGGAAGCTTATGCTGGCCCTTGTTTCCGAACAGCGTCAGTTGGTATCATGACCGCTCCCAATGCGAGCGATTAACTGTTGACCCAACTTGGCCCCGTTGATGCCATGACAGTACTAAAGGATCATGGGACTTAGTGACTAGGGTTACTTTTAAGGTAACTATACTTATAACCCCAATTAGGGTACTTATAATCTTACTTACTAAGTCCCATGATCCTCCAAGTAGCCTTCCCCAAACACAAGGAGCTTCTGAGAATACCACACAACTGCCCTCATAAACCACGAGGAGGCCTGCCCACGTTGCAGCCGGCACAAGTGCGGGCTTGCATGCACATAGGGAAGCAGCAAAGACGGCCGCAAACTATCTGGGAGCTTCCGATAAGAGGGGACCCTAATACAGCACCCTAAATAGTAGGATCCTTATTAAAAGGACCCCAAAATATGGTACCCCTAATTTTCGGAAACTCCCATCTCTATCTTTCGTAACGACACACTTCCCGGAGATCCTTTAGGTCGCTGCGCATGCTTCGCAGGTCGTCCAGCGCAGTTTCCTTCCAGGCCAACGCGAACTACTTGGAGGTTCATGGGTGGCTACAACAAAGTCGGGTTATAAGTCCAGTAATATGGGTCATAGGTACAGTTGTCCTGCTCATAACTTCCATGAACCTCCAAGGGCAGGAACGCAAAGAAAAATGTCACGGTCTCCGGCGGCAACTTTTTGTTGTCGAGGCTGCCCTCTTTTCATTTCTGGCAGTTCGGGCTTTGCAAGATTTGAGGCTCCATGCCTCAAACATCCCTACACCCGCGATATCCCCCCAGGGCCTGAGTGAGACTCTACCGAAGAGCTGTCTGGGTTGCTTTGGCAGAAGGGGTTGGAGTTTCGAACTTAAGGTTGGAGGTCGGGATTTTACCGATTGACACTCGACTTGCAATGTGCCCGGGTTTGAGTTCAGCTGGCACGTAAGTTTCGGATTCCTGCTCAAACACCCTGAACCCGTACCGCCTTAGCCCCGATCACTGCGGCACAGGCTCTGTCCGGACGAGCGCAAAAATCTCGCACTCCTCGGCGAAGCGATCTCCAAAAAGGCCGAACAAGCTGAGATTGAGCGTGTAGCGAATGCCTGTCAGGGTCGTTGTAAACAGGTCTTGTATGCTGCTCGCCCAGCGAACCCGATATGCTTCATGACAGGCACTGACTGAGAATACCAAGACGTCAACCTTTCGGGGTCTCTACGATACTTTCAGTATAAAGCACCCCGAAGCCCGTGCTTAACTCTTCAAGGCCCTTTGCTGACTTCCGCAAGCGTTACGTCAAAATACTAAGCACCTACATTTTCCAAAAAGCCAGAGGGCCTACCGCCCAAACCCATGGCCCACCCCCGCAAAACCCCGGCAAAGGCCTGTGAGTCGGAATCCCACCGCTTGCAGCAGCAGCGTGAGGATCGCGAAAACCAGCAAGCTTATTACAGACCCGGCGAGCAGCACGAGACACACTACCTGTTTAGGGGTCCGACTTGGGCGGTTTGGGTTTGGGGTTTGGGGTTGGGGGTGAGGTTTTAGGGTGTTCTGTTCAGGGTCTAGGTTTGGGGTTTGGAGTGCGTCATGCAATAACCAGGCCCAAATAAGACTCTCTCAAACTTTGTATCATAAACTGCTCTATGAACCCTAAACCCTAAACCCTAAACCCAAAGCAACCCAAGACGTTCACAGCTCTGCCATGGTCGAAGCAAGGCTGCTGGAATGCCAAGGGCCAAAACTTTGTACTTCGAGATAGGGCTCCAAAGAGCCCGCTGCAAGAATCGATCGAAGATGTTCTTCTGGTAATACGCCCCTTGCCGTACAAGAGGCTCCATGACCAGTGTGAGAGGGCTCAGTGAGATCCTAGGATACCCAGTAACCTAAGAATAAAAAGGCCTCTCTTTTTGGTATTCGGTAACTTTATAAGGAACCTAGGACTACAAAAAGGGAATAAGGGTACTACTGGGCATCCTAGGATCTCAGCCAGCTTCCCAAAGTGCCAGTAAGGAGCCCCCTGGGGCTGCAAGGCTTCGGGGTCCAAGAGCTTTCGACCGAGCCAGGCGCCCACCATCATCCAAGGCCTGCGCTGCACCTTCGGGGCGTGTCCTTCTTTCTGGGATCGATGATAACAAAACGTCATCTAACAACTATCACCACTGACCGTCATCACCAGCAGTAGTATGAGCTTTCGCTGTCTGAGTCTCAGTATAAACTGAGCTCTGCGAAAAACTGCACGACATGACGGGCAGCGACCTTTTAACACCTTAGCCCACATTTGTGCAAGTCGTGCAAAATTTGAAACCTCTCTGGAGCTCTTTTCTGCGCACCGACAACTCAGAAGCACCCCGACCTCCAGAAAAGCCAAGACGACCCTGAACCCTAATCCTGAAACCCCCAAACCCAAACCCGGCACCAGAAACCTAGCACCTGCCTCCAGCAGCATGCGCGCGCGGGCCTGCACGAAGAGGCCTTGTGCCCGATCCTGTTGCATCTCGTAGTTCTGGCTAAGGATAGCGATCAGCCTTACTTGCAGAGTTCAGGGTTTAGGGTCTAGGGCTTAATGACTCTTTCTCCAGGCGGAGTTCTGGCTCAGGATGGCAATCAGCCTTGATGGCCGGCTTCAGGGTTTAGGGTTTGGGTTTGTTTTTGAAGTGCAGTGACTCTTTCTCCACGCGGGTTTAGGGTTTAGGGTTCAGGGTTTAGGGTTTCTTTTTGGGTTGTGGGATTTATTTGGGGATATGGGGCCTAGGATTTAGGACATTTGGTCGTGGGTTATGGGCTTTGTGTAAGGTTCAGCTGGCCTGGGAAACAGGTGAGCCTTGCCGGCTGCGTTTCCTGTGGAAATGGCTATCCCTATCCTTGACATGCAGTTTCGTGAGGGCTCGTTGCAAACCGCATGGTCAAAAGTGGTTGCCTACCATGAATCAGAGTGGCAGGTTCATGAGCAGCACCGTAATGCCAATTCCCGTGCAGAAGAAGCACAGCTGCAGGTAGATGTAGGGGAGCTGTGCCAAGTCTGTCGGACTGGGGTCTTTCGGTGCCCACTCGCCCTCCACTTGCTCAAAGTTAGTGTCTTGTCCCTGGTATTCAAAGAGGTCAAAGTCCCCGAAGATGGCCAATCGCACCGTGTGCGTGAACGCAGAGTACACCGGAAAATCGTCCTCGCCTGGGGCGTCGGGTTTGGAATAATCCAAAACCAATCCGCTTTAGTGAAGCAAGTCCCTGTAAATATCTTAACATTCTTTAACCCCATATAAATATGAGCATATCTTTAATTCCCGAACGTGGAAGATCCTCGCATGACTTAACGACTGGTCCTTACGTCGCCTCGTGGGTTCATGATCACGTAGGCATGAGTCGCGCTTGCAACACAGAGAGAGGTGACAAAGAAGAACGCCCCGGTGTCTCGAACGGCTGATAGAATGGGCAGAAGGTACGGCCCCAGCCACCGCTCTCCCCGAAGGCTGTACCTGCAGTCCAAACAGGGTGTGGGGTGTAGGGCTCCTCATTATGAAGCCATATGTGTTCGCTTTAAACATGAAATCTTTTGGACTGCAGGTACATGAGTCGGAGCCAGTACATCGAACAAAAGCCTGGCAAGAAGATAGGCTCCAACTCTTGGTTGACACAAAGATCCATCTGGCGATAGATCGCACCCGAGCCTGGGTTTGGTTTCAATTCAATGAACTTTACCGGAATTACAAGACCTTACCTCAAGACAGCATGCCCTCTTCTTGTGGTAACTCTAAACCCTAAACCCTAAAGCCCTAAACCCTAATTGTGGGAGCTCACAAGAACCAGGAGCCGGCTCCCAAGAAGAGCAGATCGACGAGAGTTTCCAAGCTAGGCGCGGGATGAACCCAGGAGGTATGCTCATCACCCAGTAGCTCCATGTCCTCTCCATTAATGCGCCTGAGTTCGGGAGAGCTTTGAAAGATCAGAAGCCAAGTGCCTCCATCAACCTCCGAAGAAAGCAAAAACATGCTCGAAGCTTCCCCAAGACACGCCCGACCAAGCCAAAAGCTCTGGGCGTTCTTGCGACTGCGGGTCAGACGGCTCCAGCAATAAAAACCAAGCTGCGAGAGCAGCTCCACCGCCTCTTTGAACTGTATAATTGCCAGGACCCATAGTGCAGGCCTCGCTTGATGAATTGAGTTTAGGACGTATGGCTGCTCGCTTGAAGACTCGCCTGACTTAGACCGTCAGGATACCAACCGACACATGGGTCCATTAGTGTGGCAAGCTCTGCATTGGAACTTGGAGTTAAAGAATCACGGGCCCCTCGAAACTCCAGAAGAATTGCTAGGGCACCGACTGGGCATCCATACCTCCGTAACGACACGCCCAAGTTACCAAACACAAGCATCCCAAGGCCACGCAGTTCAGGAAATTGTCGACGGCGGTGGCCACTCGCATCTGAAGCCACGCCGCTGCGGTGATAGCTTCCACAGCGTCTGTCTGTAGGGTCTCCTCGTTAGCGGTCTCTGCCAGTGCCGCAAGAACGGATGGCTTGCATGCCAGAGGGGCTGCGATTGGTAGGCTTCGCAACGTCACTTGTACTTCCGGCGCATAAAGCATGTTGTGCCAGCTCAAGTTGAATGCATCGACATCTTCGGGCTTCTTGTTACGATCGTCTCCGAAGATGGACTTCCTCCCAGTATCAGTCAGAAAACTGTGCACCTCAGACTGCGGTGTCTAAAAGCAATCAGAAGACAGGAAATGAGTTGCGGAATTCCTGCCTCGAACATTGGAAACCCTAGCAAGCTGCACCCTTCAATGCACAGCTATTGACGGACTGACTGCAAACTTGGCACCTGCTTTCTATCCAATGCATAATCGCAAAGGACTGTGCGCACTCGTTCCTTCAATCTCTCAGAACGGAATTGTCCCGGTTCAACCTGCCAGTTATCGAAAAAACTTGTTAAACCGACTGGGGATCATGCAAGGTGGCTGGGGTGCTATGACTCCCTGAGTATCCTCTCGGCAATGCTAAACCATATTGCAAGTGACGATTTGGCTCTTCTGACAGTGAAACTGATGAGATCGTGACAGCGCGTACAGGCGATACATAGCAGCCATGGCACCTGGACCGCATCAATAAATGATTCAACTGTTATCGCTTTTGCTACTTCCAGTTTGGTTGCTACTGAAACTGCTGTTTGCATCTGTGCAGCTTAACTCCGTGGTTGTGTCCCTTACTCACTCTGCGACTCACTGTCTCTGTAGAAGAAAGTTATCTTCCTCCCCGGCATTCTCTCTTCTGTGAGCATGTCAATGACATGCCGATGACCCAGCCTCTTTCAGCAAGCCACTAACCATGTCGGTGAAGATTTGCCCCTCTCCACGAAGCAATGTCACGAGCATTCGCATGGTCAGCTTCTCATCTACCGGCCGGTTGTCTGATGGAGTGTCCGATCGCTGCACGGGCTTCTTTCTCTTCTGATCAAATGCGTGATTCAGCAGGAACCACATGTGGATGTCGCAGGCCGTCGAACACGAAGCCGCCACCAGCGCTGGGAGTCCATCGGAGTCTGTGGCAGTCACATCAGCTCCGAACCGTAGCAACTCCCACGCAACATGGCTGTGCCCCGAGACCGCAGCCGCAATCAGGGGCCTGGTCCCTGGACTCTTGGCATTCATAAGCAGCCCCTGCTGTTCGGCGAGCCGACGAAACACGGAAGGCTCTGGCGCGAAAGAAGAAGTCCCTTTGCCACTCTCCAACTCATTGGGATCGTAACGTTTCGCCAAGAAGTCCTTCACCTGGGAGATGTCCCAGAGTCTCAGAGGACAAAAAGAACAACGCAAAACCTGCCCCAGCTTTGGGAACTGGCCCTGAAAGATATCTTACTAAGAAACCTTCTAGGAACCCGAAACCAGGAAGATCCCCTAGTCTCCTCCAAGTCGCCTTGTCCAGGTCGCCACGTCCTGCAGCTTCCACCAAGCTGTCCTCCTCTTTGGCCTTCTCGTCCTCAGCACTCGCCCTCACCCGAGAGTTTAGGGTTTAGGTCCGTTTTAGAAGAAACTCGACGTGGACACGTCACATAGGTACCTCCTAAAGAAGGCCCCGAAACATTTGAAACCAGACCTTCAAAGCATTCAAAATTGCACTGGCGCCAAAGCCCGCGCACACAAAGCCACAGCGGGAAAGGCCACCCTTCTAAAAAAGCCATACAAGACTCTTAAAACTAAAACCCTTAAAAAGATAGACCTTAGGACTCTCAAAGCCAAAACCTTAAAGAAGATAGACCTTAAAACCCCAAGCCGAACTTCAGAAAGCCCACCTGGCTCTGGAACACCTCCGGGGCTACCGGGGCCACATCTCCTGTTGGCTGCTCCGCCTTGACGGGGTCTGCTGCCACCTTTAGGGCTTTAGGGCTTTAGGGTTTAGGGTTTTAGGTTTTTAAGGTTTAGGGTTTTAGGTTTTTAGGCGTTAAGGGTTTAGGGTTTTAGGATTTTAAGGTTTAGGGTTTAGGGTTTTAAGGTTTTAGGTTTTTTAGGGTTTAGGGTTTTAGAGTTTAGCTATCTGTAGGGTTTAGGGTTTTCGGCTTCAGGGTGTAGGGTTTAGGGTATAGAGTTCAGGGTAGGGTTCAGCCCGTACACTGAGCGACAGAAGGCACTACCGCGACCATTAGCAGTACGATTATCGGTGCAATGCTGGTAGCTGTTGTATCAACTGTTGCTCCTTTGACCGCTGTCAGGGCCGTTGACCTTACTACGAAACTGGTGGTATCATGATTGTTCTGGTACTGCTGCATGGCTGATGTCACTGCGGACTCCTCGGCTGCTCTAGTCAAGTATGCCAACTCCGAATGCAGATCATGAAGAAACGGTTTGAAGGCTTTGCACGAGATGATCAGAGCTCTAACTTGACGGCATAGGTATCAGTCTCAGCCACCACGCACACGCCCGATTCTCTTGGCCGGTAGCTGTCTGGCAGGTGAGCGGGCGGGCAGGGCAGAAATGTGGTGGGTGGCCGGCGGCGGGAGTTTCGCCGGTGGCGGGTGTGCTTGAAGGCTCATGGGACTTAGTAAGTAAGGTTATAAGTAGGTTATAATTAGGATAACCCCACTTAGCGGACTTATAACCCCAGTTATAACCTACTTACTAAGTCCCATGATCCTTCAAGCAGACGGAAATTGAAGTTTCGGCGGGTGGCTCGGAGCGAGCCTGCACGAAAGCTCAAGAAACGGATCGGGACCCTCAGCTCTAAGCCTTGAACCTGTTTTGACACACCTTTTCAACAACATCGGCAGATCCAGGCAGCCCCCTACTAGATCTTATAGTAGATTACAGTACAGCATATTATGGTATATCATAGTATATTACAGTACAGTATAGTCTGATATGGTATACAAGGAATGCCAGTGCTGCCAGGCAACGTCGGCTTTTGCTGCTGCGCCCTTTACCCGAACAACCTGCATGGCGGTCGCAGGTCGGCAGGGCCCCCAAGATGAAATCCCCCTAGTGTTTAGGGTTCAGGGTTAAATCGATCCATCTATACGGGAGTTTCCGAAAATAGGGGACCCTAACATAGTACCCTAAATACTAGGATTCTTGTTGTAAGGACCCCTAAATAAGGTACCCCTAAATTTCGAAAACTCCCATACTGTACTCCTCTCGAGCAAACGAGCCTGGTCGATACCCCCATGCCCAACCCTCGAAATCACAGAATCGAGAAAAAATCGCGCTCGGCACCCGTTTCGAAGTTAGCCAACGGACAGGTTTGTATATGATCCTTCTGAATATGAGGCTGGAAAAGACCCCCGAGCAAAACCTTCTGAACCCTACGTCTTGCACACTACACTGCACTGTCACCCGGAAGCGCAACCTGAAATTTCGTAGCTGTGTGATCCGCCTGAGAATCCCTTCGTTAGAAATCTCAGTATTCCTTCTCCCTCCACGGTTGCAACACCGGCCCACATATTAGGAGAATCTCTCAAAATTCCAAAGCCACACCTGCCCAGTGCTTCAGGATCCTTCCTAGTCTAACATAATCCAAAAAAGCTCTATTCTGATTATTGGGGTCCTTTATACTACGATTATAATGGGTCCTTTATACTACGATTATAATAGGGAATTGGTAATAATTCAAGCCGATTCTTCAAGCCCCTAAACCCTAAACCCTAAAAGCCATGCATTAGGCACCCAAACTGGCCTTCTTGGTCGACTTCTGCTTTGGCTTCGCGGCCTGCGACGAAGCGGTCGAGGTCTCGTCGACCACCTGCTTGGAGGTTCGGGGGTAGTCATAAGTGGGCTATAAGTATGATAACTACGTATCGTTAAAATTTAAAACCATAACAGGGGACTGATAACCCCGCTTATCACTACCCTAAACTTTAAAGCCTAAGCTTAAAACCTAAACGCTATAGAACCCTTCAAAGAAACCTAGTTAAAACCCTACCTGTAACTACCCATAGCCCTTATAAACCCTAAATACGTATAAGTACTTGTGACCTAAAACCCTTAAAACCCTTCAAACCCTTAAAAGCCCTTATAACCCTGAAAACCCTTATGACCCTTATAACTACTTATAACCCTTATAGTTGCTTTTGAACCCTTATACCTACTGAAACCCTAAACCCTTACAACCCTGAACCCATGAACCTCCGGCCTGGGTAAAGGCGGCCTCCGAGAATGGACTCGCTAGGTCGGCCTCGTCGCGAACTTATAGGGCTGCGGGTTTGGGTTTGGGTGTAGGGCTTACGGCCTAGAGTCGCGGGTTTGAGCTTTAGGGCTTGGGGTCGCGGGTTTAGGGTTTAGGGCTTAGGGTCGCGGGTTTGGAGTTTAGGGCTTAGGGCTTTGGGGCTTTATGGTACGGCTATGAGGTGGGGTTTATGGTCTATGGTTTGGGTTTAGGGGTTAGGTTGTAGTGCTCAAGGTTAGAGCTGGGATGTAAGCTCAATTCGTTCAAGGCAACGGATTTTTCATAGGGTATCAATGTGAGGGCGAGAGCTGGACAGATAATGGTGCTGCGACTTAAAGTTGTATTCTCAAATGGAGAACCTGTGAGGTGAAGCCATGACCCATCGAAACTGATTTGATGCTGGCGGCTTCGTGTTGCAGTCTGAACCATTCTGCTCGACCTCAACACCCCTCAACACAAGGCCAACACAGATTCGGACTTCGAAACCTGATGCCAAGACGTGGCACTGGGAACGTCAGAACCAGTGGGACAAAGCCCGTCATGCAGCCATGGGACCTCGTTCATCGGCCGACAAGGCACGGGATCTCAGGTTAACACATGGCGCTCCACATCACAACTTGGACGTATGCGCTTCAGCGACAAGAAGCAGCACAGCATGAACTACTGTGGTGACCCACTGCTGCAAAACATAACATAGTATCGGAAAAGGTGCTTGCATTGTGCTTACTGTCATCATTGGACATTTGTGGCAAGCTGGTCTGATGCCAACGGCCAAGCAGTCGAAATGGATGATACTGTATCTCAAACTGTTGGGAAAAGAGTCTCAACTTTGATTTGGGCTCAGATCAATTGCCAGCAGCAAGGAAAACATGAACGTGAACATGTGAACACGACAGGTCATCAACCAGAAGGCAAGTTGCCCAAATCTGTGTTTTCACGTTCGTTTATTGCAGAAAAATAGTCATGAGTCGACTGACGACCGTAGGTGTGCAGTTTGACCTCATGCACAGGTAAAGGTCAGGTAAAGCGGTGGATGTCAGAGAGTTGCAAAACTTTCTCAATTGCTTACAGCCGCACATCGTCTGCCTGCTGGAACGAATTTGCAGCGGTTGGTCGAAAGCAAGCAACATTTGCAAACCCCGTCTTCCCAATCCCAAAGCAAAGACTCCGACTTTCCAAGTGGAAGGGAAAGCGCGCTCGAAATTGCTCCAAGGAGTGCCACCCTTTGCCGGATGAAATGACATTTTCTGCAATTCAACATGTGGGCCTCACCATCTTGTCGACATTGGAACAAAACGTTGAAAAACTGTCAGCACGGTTTCAGTTCAGTTACACACAAAGAAAAGCTGCAATGCAGTGGATTTGCACTGGGCATCCAGCTGCATGTTTCCGAAGTCTCGTCGACTTGCGTCAGCAGCTCTCACTCGAAGAAACCATGCAAAAAAAAACACAAAAGAACCAAACAGCGGTGAAACAAGGGTGGAACCAAAGCACAGACGAGAGAGATGAAGACAAAAGTTCTCTAAAAGCAACGTCAAGCTCTAAACGCTTCCTTGAAGCCACGGCTCTCAACGTCTCAAGCCTGGAAGCCAACGTGAAGCTCCAAACATCCCATTGTTGAAAGACATTAAGTGAGCTGCCAGTTTTGATCTCAACGCCCAGAAGCGACAGCTCCTATTCCAGAGGGGGGCCACTCAAGCGAAACCAAAATTGCTCAGATTATGCAACCCACATTTGGAGCCGCGTGTGCAACCGGAAATAAAACTAACAGAGCCAAAAAGCAGAGCACTCAGCGTCCTGGGTCCCTCGGGGGGAAGGACAACAACAACCCAGAGAACCCAGGTTTTGAAACCTGGGTTTGATCTGGGTTTTAACCTGGACCTGGGTTCGAACCGTTCAACTTTGAGTTAAACCCAGGTTTAAACCCAGGTTACAACCCAGGTTGCGACCAGGAACCAGGTTCTAATCAGGTTTGGAACCCAGATTGAATGTTTGACCCAGGTTGAACCCAGGTTCAAACCTAGGAAACACTCAAGTTCCAAACCCAGGTTTGAAACCCAGGTTCAACCCAGATTGGCCCTGTAACTGGCATTGAAACAGCCCAAGAGGTTCAAAAGCGAGAAAATAAACGCCCACGCGTTCCAAAGTTTGTTGCTTTAAACACTTCGCGCAAAATGCTGTCTGGATCCGACCTCACGTCAAAGAAGAAATGCTCGATCCACTTCAAGGGTTGCTAGCTCACGCACCAGCAGCTGCCGAAAGCAGCTGGATTTCCTGATCTCTGATCTGATTCGAGGTACATTCCTAAGCTGGTAGCGCAAGTGGGGATTCCATGATGTCGATTGCAGCTGCTTTTTTTTTTGGCGTGAGCGGGCCTCGTCGACTACAGCTGTAGCACTCGGTCCCTACAAACAGACAAACCAACAAACAAACGAAAACAGCGGTGAAACAAGGCGGCTAATTAACAGAGGTCGACAACTAGCGGCGGCGCACAGGCTTTGCCGGTGTTGGCCGTTCAGCACAAGCTACGATGCCTCAGCGACCGATCTACAACAACCGTGGGCCGTCGCCCAGAGCTGTCCAAGACCATCGGTGGAGCCCAAGTCAAAGCTCCGGCCGCCGTTCTAGTTCCGTCGAACAACGGACAGCCCCTAGGTCTTGTTGTGTCACGATCGTGCACGGAAAATCCACAAGTCCACAGCCGACAACCAGTGGCAGGTGCCAGAAAAAGACCTTTCGACGTATGTCGAATGTCATGGACAGTGGAATTGACCGATTGGGCCCAATTCCTTACCGGGCACGCTCCGAAGTCGAAGGGGGCCATTGATCCAGCTGGTGCTGCATGTCGCTGCCACTGGTCGGGAAATGAGATTCCCGCAGGAGGTACAGCAGTTGATATTGGCCCTCATCATACAAGGTCTTGAGGCGGTAAAAACCGTACTGGAGCGTGTCAACGTCAGGCTCATGAAGATGCGGCATGCGATGAAAGTCTGAGCCGCTGCTCTCCAGCTGTCCTGTCCCCAAGGGTGGCCAAGCCGGTACCGTGGCCGGCTACCGTCGGGCATAGCAGCCTGATTGGACTCTTGTGCCACCAAGTGGTGGATTAGGACTTGGGCCCTGCAGTCGCTTGCATCGAAGAGGGCAAAGCGCCACAGGCGTGCTGGGAAGTAGAAGTCCATCTTCCGAGGGCCGCGCAACCAGAACACGACAACATGACTGAGCTCCCAACCGGAGGTGGTGGCAGCTGTGCGAAGGCGAGACAAAGCGGCATGCAAGAGCCCAGCAGACTGGATTGGGAGCGTAGGCTGTGCTTGCAAACCCAGAGAGGAATCATCTAACGGAAGCAAGAGTCGGAAGGTGCCTTTATAGACACCTGGGTACGAAAACATCTGAGGATCGTAATCCCCGCATCTAGCTGGGAGAAGTCCACGATGGAAGCCTTCCATCATGCGGGCAGCGATTGCGATTTGTTGCTGGCCTACAAGAGAGGCCGGCACCTCTGCCTTGATTCTAATCTCCACGAACCGCGAGCCATTGTGCTCAACGGGCGCGACCTTTGCGAGCTGCAGGAGGGAAGCCGCATCAGGCTCGTCGGTCAGGGCCCTGGTTAAATAGAACACCAACTGTACCGGGAGCAAGACACCGCAATGAAGAAGAGGGGTACCCTGCTGCGGATCGGTGCTCGAGTTCCCCCCCTGCCGTGGGTCGCTGAGTGTTGGAGCCGGCGCCACGGTGGCGTTTGCCTGTTGCAGTGGGCCCTCTTCTAGGCGCGAGGGACATTTGGATGAGGCTACCATCACGGACGGGTGACTTGATGCCTGCCTTGGCATTCGGGAGCGAGAATCGGAGTCCATCCAGTTCATCCAGGAGCAACCACCACCAAATTTCCGGACGCACCAACTCATACCACGATAAATCAAAGACTCGGCCCTCGGGCAACCGCAGCACCGGAAAGGAGAATTGGGCCAGCGCTACGGACACTGCCAACACGGGTGTGAGGCACACCCGGAAAGCCTCACTGGCCGCACAGTGTCGCAGCATGAGAGCACGATCGACAAAGTTGACAACCCGCGCTCCAAAGTTCTGAGGGCTGATCTTGACTTCGCATGCCGGTAATGAAAGGGGAAGCGACAGAAGGGAGAGGCAGTTCGTCCCGCTGGGGAGAAGATCCCGTAGCGCCAGCGCACGAGCCGGGCCTTCGAGGAGCTGCTGCCTCCCGCCCTTGGCCTGGTAGCGGCGAAGGATCTCGTGCTGTTCTGCAAAGTCATCCTCCTCCTCAGGCGGGACACTTTTGCTGGGAATGGTGTCAACCCCGGGCACTAGGCGGTTTGGCGGGATGTCGACGGCGTTTAGCAGTGCTGCTACTCGCTGGCTCCACGCAGTGTCAGGAGCCTTGGGGACTGAGGCGGCACAGCTTTGGCTGCGAAGCTCTGCCGTCAAGCCAGGATCCTCTTTAGTCGGTTCGCCATCTGCCGGGTCGGGCGACGCAAACCCATCTTTATCATAGAGAGCACGGGGCAGACCTGTGGTGGCGACCGGCGGGAGAAGGGCGTCAGGTAGATCGGATTGATGCAGTAGCGTCGACACAAGGTGTTGGAGCCGCCCCAGCAACATCTTGTCGACTGTGTCAGAAGCAACAGCATATAGGTAAAACACCCCTGGAACCGAGGAGACCAAAAGCCCCGCGGCGTCATTTTGACCCCGGCACACAGTTGTCCGCGTATCCACCGTGATATGCGCCCCGATTGAAGACCGGTGATGCGGGGAACGGAAGGCGCTATAGGCTCGTTTTGGTGGCTTCAAGCCCACCCCCTTGTGTGCACGGAGGCGGTGGAGGCTGAAGCGAGGTGGGTTAGTGAACTCCAGCAACCCAAAAACGGGATTTTTGGTGTCGAGCACAGTATAAAACGGGCGTACTCGTATGGGCTGCCCGGTAGGACCGCTATGCTCAAACTCCGTGCCGCGCAGGAGCAACTGCACGGGGTAGCCAGGCAAGCCACAAGCAGCAA